CTATTTGCAAACTTTTCACTTGTTCTCGTGACTAGATAACGATAGCGTAAAACCACTTGCGCATCTTGAATTTCGTTGAGACGTCAGGCAGGCTTTTTTTCATACGTACGAGCGGACTTCTAAATGAACGAACAGTAAAACGAAAATTGACGCACGAAAGTGTCGGTATAGTACATATACACAAACACGCGAGGAAGAGAGATAGGGGGGGGGGGAGGTGTCGCACACGTGCACACGTGGGTTGTCTTTCATTTTATTATTCGTTTCTCTTTCTCTCGGGAGGGTTTTCTGCAATGCTGATGCACGTACACGCTGCAAAACCTCACGTACGGTAAGGGAGAAGGTTCTGACCTTTTACAATGTTTTGCGAAGTTCTTGTATCTTTTTCCTCGTGCAAAATATTTTGATGCAGCACGCGTTGACGCATCAAGCTATGCAATCCATAACGAAAGGATGGAAATATTTATCGGCATTGTGTATCCACGAAAAAGCGGAATGCAAGCTTGTAAAAAGAAAGAAGAAAGACGAAAAATGGCTCTCCTATTGGGTTCAACCGCCAACACAATGTGCTTTCGATACAGTGAGCTCGTTCACCGAAAGATACAGTGAAGAGAAAAACCATACATACCTAGTGCCAAACGAAAGGACACGAAGTACGAGCTAGTTTGAGAATGAAAGAGAGGGAGAGAGAGAGGAAGGTTGCAAAAGGGAACGACGGTGAACTGATTCTTATGACGACTCTAGTTCTTTTTTTCGCTCGATTTATCTTTATATTCTCTGACGGAATGAGCAGAGTGCTCTGTAGATATATACACTAGCTGCAGGGAATGGAAAAAAATGATCTGCACCTCTTTACTAGTTGTACTCTATCCCTGTAGATCAGGCGACTCTTATGTAGGTCGTGCGTAATTGCGAGATTCGCGAAAAAAAAAAGAAAAGCACAGAGCGGCTCTACGGCGCGAGATTCGCGTGGATAATAACTTATATGCCCTTCTTCATCCTCGGGTGGTTGAGAATTGAAAAATACGCGGCTTGCATATACCAGCTGGTTCTTCGTGGCTTTTTCACCACGCGAGTTCTCATTGTTCCTCATACGTGTACATTTACGAGACGCGAATATACTTTTGTCTTGCGCGCAAGCTCCGCGGGGATTCACTCTACTGATAATGTAGGACGCGACGAGGCAAACTCCGCCGCCAATAGTAACGTCCAATCGAATCATACTCTCAGCGCGTCTGTGTATCCGTGTGCTTGCAGCAGCAGATTTGTATCTACTCTCTCCCGCCCCTCGTTCTCTTCGTATTGCACCGCGTTTCACCGAGTTTCGGATGCATTTTCCATGCACTTTCTGGATGGCTTTGTTTTCCCCGGCTTTTTACGAGACACTAAAAATTCAGTTAGTCCACACAGCAGCGAACAAAAAAAAACAACGAGAAATTCAATGATATACCATCAACCAGGATTTGCATGATAAAACAGAATTTTCGAGTTTATCGAGCGTGAAACTCGACCGAAAATAAAAAGTTAAGGCGCGAATAGACAATTTAAAAGGTCGGAAGCTCGTTTAGGTGTATCACTTGCCCGCGTTCATCTTGTGTACAAATCCTATTAACCTTATCAGTACACTACTATAGGTATAGCGTCAGGTATATCATAGTATATATGCCGATCCTTTTCATGGGCCTGACTTTATTAGACTACACTCGCGCGTGCGCCCGAATACCGCGCACAAAGAAAGTATATACCCAGTGAGGATTGACAAGGCTCATGCTTATCTACAAGCAGATACGTACATGCATAAACATTGGTGCAAACACGAGACGCCTCCAATCACCATTCGTCCCCTTCTAGGCCGTAGCAACATTTTCTCGGCGGACTGCGTACCTTTCCTTCTTTTACTTTGGCGCGCTACTGATTACTTATGTTGACGTTTTCAATAATAAAAATAAAAGCAGAGAAGTGGATTATAGAATTTCCCCGTCTTGATCGTTTGATTGACAAGTGTGTTGAACGATTTGCCTATACGATCAGGTTACACATTGACTGGTTCTGACCGCCTAATAAATTAACGCTCGTAAGTAGATAGACCAATTTTTTTGCATTTCATTGTTTGATATCATTACTGCGAGAGGGCGAATGTAGTATTTACGCACGGCAAACTAGCTGTGCTTCCACTCACTGACGGACACGTGACACTTGCACGTATATACGCACAAACCCCCTATGTTTAATCTCGCAATACAGCTGCAGGGGAATGTTCGAAGGGAAAGTTCGCCGTTGTTCTTACCTCTCGTGTGTACGTTTGCCTCGTAACAGCCGAAGCCTTCCCTTATACATTTGGTTTGCCAGCAACAAACGAATGAGTAAACAAACTTGCAATGTGCCGACGCTTTGATGATGGTCAATTTGTCTTGGGTCGCTTAGAGAGAGAGAGAGAGAGAGAGAGAGAGAGAGAGGAAAATACGAGTTTCTACGGCAACCGCCTTGAAGCCGTCGTTGTTGTCAAACTTAAGGAGCCCAACAAAGGATCAAATTAAGTAAGCAACCATTGTTGTTATTGCGAGCTTCGACGGATTACGAGATCTGTCGCAATGGTGAAATTAATGCTCCAATGATTTTGAATGCGGGCTGCTGCTTTTCATCGCCGACAATTCAACGAGAATTGTGTCGTTTTAAACTTGCATGGGCAGTTGATACCGGTCCTCTTGTTTTCTTTTCCTCTTTATCTTCGTTCACGAAATTGTGCTCAATGCGATTAACGCCCGAGCGCCAGATCGAGAGCCTGTTTGTGTGAGTGTGCGTGATTAACGCTGATTGGATTCACACTACGTGCAAGGACGGCATTGAGACGACTGCAATCAAATTATCTTTTCAAACACGTCGGTTAATTGCTGTATGTATGTATATTTTTTTCCATTATGAAAACAAGAGTTTTGGAAGAAACGTTATCGGGGTCATCGGAGGCACAAGAAATAGCATCTTGGTTGACGAACCAGATCCTTGTGACCAATTGGCATGAGTTGTTCAGCAAACGAATTAGCCATTTCGCCCAGGGTAGAAACTAAGCCAATGAAAGCTCTTCATATATGTAACTTGCGATAGAGGGAGAGTTGCAGCTCTCGAAAACTTGTATCACAGCTCTGCCGAAGCTGAAAGTTGGCGTTTCGCGACAAGCACACATACGCGGCTCTAAGTGCCCCTTGACATTTGGCGAGCTGTTGTTGACAGAAATTTTCCTAATGCAGGGTCGACGCGCAACTTAGCGAGCGCACTCAAGAGCTAAGAAAACATACTACAAGCATAAAAACAACGGACAAGCTTCGAGAAGCTTTGACAAGCGTAAGCGCGGAAGAGACTACTACTTGTTTGTGTCTTATGTCTGTGACTGCATTATCTATGCCGAGAAATTGTCAAGAGAGAAACTAAAGAGTTATCCGATTCTAGAAAAGGTGAACGCGCGTGTCGCTGTGTGGTGGTAAAAGCCAAACTGCTACTCGTGAAGTTTTTTCAACTTTCGGATCGACACTTGCGCTTGAGTTTCTCTCTCTCTCTCTCTCTCTCTCTCTTGCTTTATAGGCAAGTTATGCGCGCGCTGGATTTTTCCGAAAATGGGACTTGTAAAGTGAAAGGGTGAATCGGCTGCCGCCGACTAGCGAGGCTTTTAACATATTCATTGGACATAAAAATAGGATTAAGATTATCACTCGCCTCAATTTTTTTCCGCTTTCATCTGTTGTTTCGTTTAATGTATTTTTATACTTAACTAGCTGATGCTCGAAATGAAAATATTTTATTTTTAATGCCTTTCATGCTTAAGAATTCACGAATCGCTCTGTACGAAAATGCAGTCCGCAAATTTGCCGGACTGTTTTAGAAAAATGATTGTGTAACGCCTCTCGATATATAGCCATTCGTGTATCTCGCTTACGCAGCTGGCATTTTGCAAAGCAACGCAAGTAGCCACCTAATGCTTCCATGAAAAATCAAGCGACGAACTCGCCGCTCGGTCGGCCAATAACCAGCCGGTTATTTATGGCTTGGCGAGTGAGACATGCGACGGCACGATTTCCATTGCACATGCTGCATTTCGAATAACGCGCGTGTGCACGCATACACCTTGGCTTAATGATTTATGAATTTAGCGAACGCACCTCCTTTTTTCAGGATGGGCTTTCCCAGTCTTTAGACGAAGATTAAACTGCACGACGTCTGAAAGTTAACGGTGAGACGCATGTAATTATGAGGGCATGCAAATATATACAAAGCGCGCAGGATTGTTTGCGCGGAAATAACGGCTGCAGTGTAGGTCTCTATTTTGTTTGCTTGGATTACCACGCGGCGTTATCAAGTTTATTCAACGATTAAACTTCCAGCGAGAGGAACAATGCTCTCCCCCTCTCCCAAGTAATTAGGACGCTAAAAATTCAATAGTAGAGTATTGCTAACAGTTCGGAAGCTTTCGGGGAGTTTCTTCATTATATTGCAGTCTGACTAAATATTTACCCATTTCACTTGGAACTCGCTGTATTTCGTTCTTTTCTTTTAGCGTCATGAATGCAATACGCGACAAATATATGAGCCAACTATCTGATCGTTCGCTCTGAATAGAGTTTGTAAATGTGTCATAAAAAAATAAAAACAATCTATTGATCAGGCGCTATAGTCCACACCTGCAGTGCGCACACACTATAGACTCTATACCCTTTCTCTATTTTTTACAGCGCTCTTTTTAAATATTATGCTACTGCGGAGAGGTAGCAAAAGAAAAAAAAAATAGGAAATGAATTCCTCGAAATTTCCATGAAAGATTTCTTTTCCACTAGGGTCTGCAACCACGTAATAATGATCGGCCACGATTGCCGGTTCTCAAGTGGGCGATAGCGCGTATGCCTATGTGTGAATGTGGATCGATATACCGCTTGATGGTGTATGCACACACCTCGGTTCATACAATTTTGCCCTTTCTGACGTTGGATATCGTGTTGTTACTGTTGTTGCAGCGATGGTCGATTGGTCGAGGGTGACCAGATACTGGCTATTGATGGGCAGCCCTTGGATTCCAATATCTCCCATGAGCAGGCGATATCCATTCTACAGAAGGCACGAGGTCTAGTCGAGCTGATCGTTGCCAGAAGCGCCCAAGGTGAGTACTGGATGCTTGTTTACCACCCGACACGTACACCGCTTGTTTGCTCTGCGACTTAGGGCCTTCGACTCTCCTTAATTCGCGCCGGACTTGTTCGCTTAATGCGTCACGCGAACACGGATATTTTTGTCATTTGGCAAGCTGATGCTAAAGCAGCCGAACAGCGCTCGCTAGCTTGTGCATGGGAAAGATTGTCACATAAATCAAGCTCTGGCGGTTAATGCGCGCAGCGTGAATAATTACATCGTCGATAGAGGAAAGGATTGAAAATTATTTATTTGCTCGAGAGACACTCCAGTCCTATTCTTAAGCGTCGTTGGCGCGATCGAGAATAAAAATTTAGCTTGTCACTTCGTCGGCGGTCATTAATTAGACGCTCTTATATAAACTTATATAAACTTTAGTTGCGTGTACTACTAAGCTGAAAGAATGAGATGTGGCGAGGCCCTTGAAATTGCTCCCAACTTGTAACTCCTCTTGGAAAAGTCTTTTAACAACATTTATTTTCACGGCAAGAGCGCGTAATCCTGACTGATTATCAAAGGGAGGCAAAAGAGGATTTCAAAGTGCGGTATGACAAGTGTAGAAATTAAATTTTTCTAACTAAGGCTCAGCTTACCTTCTCCAACACAAAAGGTATTCCCCCTCTTTCCTTCTCTTTATCTCTCCTATCTTCTTACAAAAATGTATACACAATGGACTGTGCGAACGAATGAAAGAATAAAAAGAGAGACATTTTTTTCGAACGAAATTGCAGTGGTCGCGCACGCATTGTGCATGCGCCCAAGCCCGCAAAATCCATTCTTCCACGAGCGTCTCTTTATTTATAGTACGCGCGGGTAGCTATTCCTGAGTGTATTCCGGCCGCCTCGCTGTCTTTTCATTAGAATATGGTTTTTTTTTGTCATTCAATAAATATTACACACGACGATGACGCTGTAACGCGATCGATACTACCTGCCCTCTCTATATCTTGTAACTTGAATAGGCTTTCGCAGAATACCATCCGACAAGAGGAGGGAGAAGAATGGCTCTTCAAAAAGCGTATGTCTTTGTTATACGGCAGTCATTATGTTCACCTCTTGATTTATCATCGTTGCAGCGTTCGTATTTTCCTCTCTCACAAGTATATATTTATTTCGCGCAAATGAGCATTCTTTTAGTGGCGTAACATCGCTTCACAACTGTATCACATTAACACATTTCAAAGACAAGCCGCATTCCGCGTAATTAATTATGTGGATAATTACGCTCTAGCCTATCATTTCTCGCACGCGATTTGCCTGAAAGAAAATTGAATAGCCGTGTTGCTTCGCCGATCGCGCGTGGATTATTGAAACTGTCGTCTTCCATGATAAATTGCACTTGATCGCTCATTAATAAAGTCCATATCTATTATGCTTCATCGAAATTATCGACTATCAATTAGCTCTAACTATGGGATTTGTAAAATTTATGCCTGCAGTTTGAAATACATTCAGCATTTGAAATAATAGAAAACTCTGCTGCGGGAACTAATAAAGCGCAATTTTCCGAAATCACTTGGGATTAGAATTCACGGAGATAAGAAACATGACCAATCAACACAGTTGGAAAAGCGGCTCAGTCTGCATCCTTGTAATTTCCGCGGTAGAAACTTCCATCGTTCTAGCTTTCTTTGCTCCTTTTTTGCTTTCAGACCATCAGAGGCCAAAGAATTTCCTGGCTAACGCGACAAAAAAAGTAAAAACAACGAGACAGAGCGAACGCCTTTGCTGCAATGGTGGCGGCAGTCCTGCAGTTAATTGAGCAATCGTGCACAAGAAAGAGAGTGAGCGAGAGAGCCTTTCACGCGCTCCATATTCTCCCACAATCATCCCTTCGTTCTATCTGTGAAAGACCTTTCCTTTTACAGTTATCCACACTGCTGCTGTTTATACTACTGACAGTGCGAGACTGCCATAGTAATTTTAGTTATGGAGAGAGGTCCGCTGTCTCGTTCAACGAGATAGACGAGGCAATTAAGTGCACAAGTATTTCATTTAATAAGCCGTCTCTCCTTTTCTCTATCACACAAACGAGAGAAGTCCTCGCTTTTCACAGGTGTTTGCGTAGCAGCAGTCGGCCCCAGGTTTATTACTCCCAGACTTCATCTACGCGTTTCCTCCCAAGACGTAATAGCTCTTTTATTAGGCTATTTTACTGTTATCTATACAATGTTAGGTTATTCGAGCATCTTTTCGGTGATAAATTTTGCTTGATTAATATTTATTTTACTGCTACACAGTGTATTTGTACATTAATGCTTTTGAGAGGATAGAATAACGATGAAACCAGAGCAAGTAGTAGTAAGCGGATGTTGTCAGACAGAAACAGATTTTGAAAATTTATATATTTCGTGACTGTATAAATGCTGAAAATTTATATTCCGACTGAATATTTCTTGGCTTTTGGGTAACGTGAGATTTATTCAAAGGAATAAGTAGTAACAAACGAATGTGGTCAGACATAATTATGTGGGTTGTTGAGTGAAGCTTATTATATAATTATGTACGTTGATCGCAATGTCACTTCTATATATATGTAGATTTCGAAAAGTATTCGTTTAATTGCACAGTTAATAGCGTAAATAATTTAAAAAACTTAGTAAAAGAAATATTAAATAACTTTTACGAATATATCTTTTTCATCCTCCGAATTCATGTGTCTGCTCATTAGTACTCGTTCTAGTGATGATCAACAGTAGCGACGTTATTTACACAACTTATTCCATAAAAATGCAACTCGCGTTCGGTTTTACGATTCCTATGAAACGTTAATGACGAAATAAAAATCCTCATGAAAAAGCAACGTCACGAGTTCTGTAAAAAAATCCACAGTTGAGCAAATATCACTGGAGATGCACATTAATACTGGCGCGTCTCAAGTAGGAACAAAGAGAAATAGAAGAAGCAGGAACATTTCTATCTCCGCATTAAGTAGCGAAGAATCATTATCAGCCCATCTAGAAAGTAAAGCGAAAGAAGAAAATGAGCTTAATCGAATATTTCTATGGGACGGTAGCAACCGCTCTTCACGCTGCACTGCGGCACTTCGCTCTTTCTCGCTTGCTCTCTCTCTCTCTCTCTCTCTCTCTCTCTCTCTCTCTCTCTCTCTCTCTCGCTCTCTTTCTCTCTCTCTCTCTCTTTCTCTCTCTCTCTCGCTCTCTTTCTCTCTCTCGCTCTCTTTCTCTCTCTCTCTCGCTCTCTTTCTCTCTCTCTCTCGCTCTCTTTCTCTCTCTCTCTCGCTCTCTTTCTCTCTCTCTCTCGCTCTCTTTCTCTCTCTCTCTCGCTCTCTTTCTCTCTCTCTCTCGCTCTCTTTCTCTCTCTCTCTCGCTCTCTTTCTCTCTCTCTCTCGCTCTCTTTCTCTCTCTCTCTCTCGCTCTCTTTCTCTCTCTCTCTCGCTCTCTTTCTCTCTCTCTCTCGCTCTCTTTCTCTCTCTCTCTCGCTCTCTTTCTCTCTCTCTCTCGCTCTCTTTCTCTCTCTCTCTCGCTCTCTTTCTCTCTCTCTCTCGCTCTCTTTCTCTCTCTCTCTCTCTCGCTCTCTCTCTCGTTCTCTCTCGCTCTCTGCAAAACTTTTAATTGGCTGTTCATAGTCAGCCGTGAAAAGTCATTATGTATGATAAATAAACATAAAAGAAAGCCAGGTGAAAAAATGACGTTACGTTGTGGAAGCTGCGAATTTGTGTGCGCAGAGCGTTGCAAATGTAAACACACGACGAAGGTAGCTGCTTCTGTCGAATAAATTCGAATTTATTCACCGTAATATAGGGAGTCATTTATATCGGGTCGTATTTAAATTTGACGCTCGGGCGCGAATCTCGAAAGTAAATTAGACAGAAGTTTGTCGGCAAAAGTTCTTCCACGAGTAGGATATTAGCGAATGAAATAAGGGCCGGCGAATACTCTTCTCGAAAAACGGCCAACTTTCAACAGCCGCCGTCGCATTCATTATTCCTCAAAAGTGTTATTGCCATTGAGCAAGTCACTTTTTAGAGTTTCATCGCACCTATAATTTTGTTATAGTTGTGGAAATTACCGTTTCAATCCCGCTATTCACGTTGAATCATTCAATTCTTTTTGCAAGTGAAGGCGATGCTACTTTTCTATATATTTTCTTTTATCGCAAAATCAATAAAGTTTCATTTAAATTCGTCGTTAATGAAATGATTTGCGTGGCAATGAAGGCTTAACTTGAAATATTATGAAACCAAGCCTTTATTCACAATGCGACGCTGATCAGATTAAAATGCCTGTCAAAATTATCGCGAGCAGTCTCGTATGTTTAATGTAAAAACAGATTCGATACAACCTTTTCTCCTTGTCCAGCAGTAAAATAGACATACCGAAAATTACGCGTGGAAGCAGATTTCATTCTCGGAAGTAAAGATAAATATTTTGTTGTTATTGTTTCCCCTCTAATACCGGGATTTTTGGAAGATTCGAACATGAAAACGGGAATTTTTATTTTGTCACTGGGAAGTCAATACTCGGTCGAACGGAGTTTATCTGCGCTCCGATGCACTTGATCTGGATGTTCAGCCTGCTCGTCCTCTCAATGTATACTTAACAAAATGAGAGAGCTTTGGGCCTTTGTACTATACGCGCCATATGAAAATATTCTCTGTCTTGGTAGATTTATGCTACATTTATTTCAACGCTATTCCCGTCTATGCGTATCGTTCAAATACTTTAAAAAATGTTTACAATGCTAGTGAAAAGTATTTTTATTTGATTGCAACGATTTGATTTTTAGGAATTTGAAATGTTCTGTTAGCTATCACACTTACCGCTTTTCTATTTTGTAGGTGCCATGATATAAAAAAAGGCTAGGTATTTATTAGCATTATCATTCCGTCTAGTGGAACGACATAATTTTTTGTCTTCTATTGATTAAGTTGTCGAAAAAAGATAAGGGATATTTGATCGATATCGAATGGTGTCAGTGTGTCGATCAATTTTCATTTTCTATTTTTAATCCTCTCACTTGATTATAATTATAGCATCATTCTAGATATGTGCGATCGACAATATCGATAGCAATATCGTTGCTAAACACGTTACTGTCAACATTTGTCTCTCGTTAAACTCCTTGTGCTATTGATAGTTTTCGACCATGTATTCCCATTAAGCGGCTCTACTAAACTATACAAAGATTTGGTAAGCTGTACGACCTTCGCTTCCGTTCACGTACTTTTTATATCCTATGCTATCTTATCGATTATCGGCGCAAAGTGTGGTTTTTCCAATAATACCATCTTACAGTTCAGTTCATTGTCTGATAGAAGCAGAAAAAATTACGTGAAAACAATCGTGAGAGAAAGAACAGTGTCAGCAGTTGGCTCACTTTCGATGTGCATAAATGATGTTCCGTCTAGCAGATAACTAAAAAAAAAAGAAAGAAGGAAAGAAACACGTATCGAACGATTAGTTTATGGCTGCAAGCTCGCAGGCTTGAGCGAGTGACGAATGATGATCGATGAAATGGCCGTACTATCTGCCCCGCTCGCCAGCCGGGCGTGGCTTTAGAAATCACCTGAAAAATGTACGCGTAGCAGCCGTTTCTCTCCAATGGCCCATCGATCATGCGCGTCGATTCTCGTCGAGGTCATTGCTGCGCGATGGATCATCGTTATTTTATCGTAGCCTTTTCTCTCTCTCTCTCTCTCTCTCTCTCTCTCTCTCTCTCTCTCTCTCTCTCTCTCTCTCTCTCTCTCTCTCTCTCTCTCTCTCTCACCAGAGTGTACGCCAAATACCAATCTGGGCCGGCGGCAGTTTGATTCGCGGGCGACAGTAACAAACAAACACGTTTTCCTTTTTGCAGAGTATATGTGCGTTGCGCGCAACTGTCTGCTGTTATTTGTAGCCACATGTGTAGCTAGATGATCGATCGACAAAGCAGTTTATGCAAATTTACAAGGCGAGTAATTATTTAGCTGTGTAAATACGGAGGCAGGATTAAATGAGTCTGGAGAAATAAAGAGCGCAGCTTTATTGTCTGGAAAAATCCACGTAAACAATGTGTACGACCATAAAATGTGTCGATATTAAATTGATAACGCACACTATGATGGTTATTCCCTGCGATCGCTTTTCGATCGTCGGCCGATCAGATTGCTTTCGTTTTCCAAAGCGCAGCTCTGTCAGAAAAGAAGAAACGAAACGGCGTCGTGCGTGATGAGAATCGATGATAGATAGAAGCGCAATGAGACAGACGCAGCCTTGCCTTTCTAACGAAGCTATAAGCTTAATTACAGTTTGAAACTGTGCTTGCAAAGACGTCGTGACCAAAATAGATTAGAAACGCTCGCGCGCGCTTACCTTCTGTGTGTGCGTCATGTGCATATTATATCTAGATTGCCATCTAACTTGACGAGGGGCTCGGAGAGTAGTTAGTTAACTCGTTAGTCTCTCCAACTATTTTGCTCACTAGCTTCGCGCCATAAGCATTTTAATAATGAAAAATGTTGAATTTCACAGACGTTGGGAGTTCTCTAGCGACGGATGAGTTGTCCGGGGTACAAGGTGCAAGTGCAGCGGGAGGCGGAGGTGCAGCAACAGGAGTATCGTCTATCCCAGCGACGAGCAGTCCCGAAAAGGAGCAATCGGTCTCGGTATCTACCTCGATCAAATCATCGGCGGCAGCACCAAGCCAAACGGCCGCAGCGCCAGCCACTTCGGCAACAGCGACAAGCGCCGCGGCGACACAACCTCAAGCAACCACCACCAACACCGTTACCGCCACTGCCGCCGCCGGCGTCATCGAGAGGAGCAACTCAGCTGTTAGCGACGCCTCTAAGGGTGGTGACATGGTGGTTAGTTCATTTGACTTTTATTGCTATTTTGTGGTGCTACCTTATCGCGCGCTGATTTTGCCACAGCGTTTCCTCTGTTTCCAATTGACTGTTTACCATGTGCTTGTCAACTTTCCCCTTATAGGACCGGAGATATAATTTTCGTGTCGTTAAGTTTTATCCTCCGTAAACTTAGGCGTTAAATAAAATGACATTGTCTAAACGCATAGTGTGCTTATACGATCTATTTTCTTTTACGTGCCTCTCTCTGCTTGCTTGCGCACAACAATACGGTAACCTTGACGAAAGATACCTCTTGTTCGAAAACAAAATCTGGTTAACTTTTTTGTTGCTATTTCCTGTGGATGTAAAGCTCTTAAAGAATGAATGTCGTATTGATAAATGAAAATTTCATGGAAATCTACTTGAAACCTCTCTTTGTCTCTCTCTCTCCTCTCGCTCTCTCACTCTTTATTCTTCATAAACGGAAAACTTGTGCAGAAAGTTGTTCGTCCATTTTTGTTAGCCCTTCACGGTAACGAAGCATTGTCAATGCCTCTGTGTATAACTCTTTTAACCACCACCACCACCATCACCATCCAGAGCTCTTTTATGTTGCTTGCGACAAAAAAAACGGCGTGCAAATGAAAAAACATTGTAAACACCCGCGACAAAAGCAGCGAGATGAATGTTGAAGGCAATTTTTTGAAAGAAAATGAAAGAGCGAAATAAGGCAAGAGAGGAAAAAAAGAGAAGCTTTAACAGCTGTTGTTCGATGTTTTCCCTTCTTCATTTTGACAGTAATTGTTATTATAATAATTAATAATGAAATAATAATTAATTGTTATTCCTTCAGGAAAACGAAAAAATTACAGCTTATACTGTTTCAAGTATTAATTTTTATTTTTATCGATTTTACGATTAAACAGTATTATTTCGAAAAAATTTTTGTGTAAAATAATCATTTTAATGCGAAGTTATTTCATAAATGACAAAAGTATTTTGTAAGTTGAACAATGTGACAAAGCATTTCTAAAGGGAAAATTTCAATTCAGTATACTTGATGCTGAATACCTACCAAAGTGGAGCAGAAAACGAACCTCACTCGTACACTCTTTGTTCATACTCTATTCAACATGCAACTCAACTTCCGTCGCTGCGAGAAATACCCTCATTGGCTAAAATGCCATGCGCATATTTCGATTGAAATTCCGAAATAGTTAACATTTATCTTTATATAATGATGAAGAAACTAATTAGGTTCTATTTTAAATCGAAAATGTTTCATCGAATAAACAACTTTTCAAAGATAACGCGAGATTGAATTACAAGACTTTCTTTTATCAAAATTTCGATGGTTGAAAAAAATAGTGAACAATCAAACTCTTGTTAACGAAGGAAAAAAAATCAGTATCCTATCGGGGCTAAACTTCTTTTAATTAAAAAAAAGGGGGGGGGGAGAAAGTTCCTATAAGTTTTCTTCGCTTCTCTATAAACGACATACCCTTGATAGCTTTACGAACAGAAACTTAAGAACACGAAGAAAAGTATACAACTCGAAACCCAGCTATGCATTTACGTACGAATTCGATCCAAACAATATCAACATTGGCCTTCAATTATAACTTGTAATTGCTGTACAACCGACTTGTATTCGCAACGTTCGCAACAATCCTAAAAGAAAACTCAACAGCAATGGCAGTAGATAGCTGAAAGTAGCACAACCGGTGCTGATGCAGTATCATGACAAACTTATCGGGGTTTAATTAACTGAGCCGATACGCAATGGTCGGGTGTATCAATTACGCTGTCTCTCACGCGCGTGGTATGGTCATAGATGTAGCACCAAGCCGGCGCGTGTACGTTTTAAGTGCGCCACGATTATGGGACCCGACACACGCTCGTTGGCGCTGCTCCAAACCTCGTAAACTCGCGCGCGCATCGTCGACGTTTATCGTCGACATTCTTGCCTTAACCCTTGACGATATTACCAGACGACGAGATAAAGGAAGGTCTGTGTGTGCTTTCAAATAACCCCCACAAGAAAGACCAGATCGGCTTTTTAACCAACGGCTTTTTAATTGCATCCCTTTTCAACTCTGCCGTTTCTTATTACATGTTTTCTTTGTTACTGGCTGCGCGTTTGCCATAACGAGGAAAATTTTATCCGCCATGAGATTGGATGCGGCAAATTGAACCTTCAAGTAATTGCGCATTTGTTAGATTTTACTGTCCGTATCTCGATGTCGAAGCAGCGATCCAATAATGCGAATTGTTATTCCTTGAAAGTCTCTATTGAATTCGAATCTTCCCCATTGTTTGCAGTTCCTCGATTTTAGATTTTGAAACGTAAGAAATGGCTGTAGTAATAAAATTTCAAAATGTTCGTCGAAAGTACAATAGCTTATGCGAAGACGGTTCGGTTATCGTAATTTTTTGCAGTCGTGATAATTTAATTTATTATCTGCACTTTTAATCATTTAATCTTTGAGTTTTCTGGAAGAGCACTGGCAATCAAGTGAAACTGTAATTTTTTTAATCAAAGGAACTATGCGTTATACGCTGTAATAATAATCTAAATACTGCGCGGAACTCATTATCAGATTCAGTAATTTGGATGCAGTCATGTCTTTGGCAGCGATCCAAATAACAGCCTTCCTTTTTCGTATGAAAGTTGATTCAAGATATTACGAAACCCAAATTGCACATGACTAATTAGAGGAAAATTGGGTTAGCCTATATAATCGAAAATATTAGCATGCAAGCAATAATGAGAATAAAAATAGATAATGAAAAAATTTCTTTTCTATTTTGCAGCTGAACACCGAATGGGCGCAAGTAGAAGTAATCAACCTGATCAATGATGGCAGTGGCTTGGGCTTCGGGATCATCGGCGGACGAAGTACCGGCGTGGTCGTTAAAACAATTCTTCCCGGCGGAGTGGCCGATCGCGTAAGTATGATCCTCGGGATTAAACTCCCATCGACCAATTGGCAATCAAGGGACCTGGCACTTTTCTTTCTCTCTCGCCGAGGCTATTGTCTATTTTACGAGGCTTAACTGTTTTTAAGCTGGAAAATCAAGTTACGAGAGGAGAATTTAATTAGGTTGGCTCTCGCTCACGAGAAAACGAGGCAGACAAACGGGATGACTTGATTAAACTTACGGTACTCGAAATGTTTTAAATCCAATAAAGAAATCCAATTCAATGCTAATTTTGGGAACGTCTTCTCTGCCAATCCGACGGAAAGATGCGAGGAATATTGTCGGGGCTAGCGAATTGTCTCTGACTGCGTGATCTCTAATTTTATAGGACAATCGACTACAGAGCGGAGATCACATACTGCAAATCGGCGATGTCAACTTACGGGGAATGGGAAGCGAGCAGGTGGCCGCGGTGCTGCGTCAATCCGGCACTCATGTGCGTCTCGTCGTTGCTCGCCCAGTCGAACCCACATCGCCCGACTATCAAGTGAGTTATCGCCTCATCCGCTTTAGTTCATCCCGCTTCATTGAGCTGGAATTTTTCCGTTATTTCGAGCGATGGCTTTTATTTTTTTCATTCTAGTGAAAAAAAATCCATTATGGAATTGTACTGTTAATTTTTTGTGTATATCAGACCGAAACGTATGCTTTGTCTTTCAAATGAACCTTTTTGAAGTGCAACTGAAAATTCGAGCCATCGTTTCAAATGCAGCGAATATTCTAACTTTAGAGAAAACTTTCATACCTACAAGCTTGATTTGAACGAACATGAATTTTTTTTTCATATATACACACATCTTTCAGAGTACTGTGCGGGACAAACATGGAGTGAGTTAAAAATCATAAATTCTGAAAACCAAAATTTTGATGTTTGTTTTACTCTTCATACTGCTTACTGATACTGAATTTTTGAAAAACTGTGAATATCTATAATTTCCATTTTCGCTTCTGTGTTAGTACTTCAATAAGCTCAGTTCTAGCTTCTCACACAAAACATTTTTCCATCAATTAGACGAATTGGAAAATGCATGGCCTTCTTTCACAATCAATTATTTATATCGGTTCAAAAAAATAGATTTTGTGTCAATTATTTAAAAATTCTCCGGTATTCCAAGCTTATAGAGGAGATTTTTTCATTATAATTTACATACACATTACTCACATGCATCGTATGTAACACAAACGCACTTCATAAATTCTACTGTAGCAACACTTTTTCAATTTCTCGCAAGTCCATCTAAATTCTTTTTTACTCTGCAATTGCTTCACAATTTTATAGTTATATCCGCTGTAATTTTATCCGTTGTTCCACCAAAGTGTGTTGCAATCAATGTCAAGAGCAATAACTAACTTGCTCAGCGAAAATGAAAAATAAAAAGTTTTGCTAACAACAATAACTCAAAAGCTATTTCAAAAGAGCGACATATTAGATAGACGTAGTTTCTCATAGAAACCTTTAGAGTTTGTTCAAATAGCTGAGAGTGCGCACGCCGTACGCCCAACAGCGAAAATAGCCGCAGGCTGCCTAATAACTCTCTAAGCCTCGCGTAGAGCAAGCGATAAAATATCTTTTTTTTTCAACAAACCTCTCTCGCTCATAGTCGTTCAGAGTATCTGACCGCGAGTCAATAAATTAAGCCTCGGAAAGTTTTATATCCATCCAGCTGCAATTACTGCAGGCTGTGAAAAACTATCCGATGCATTAGTCTTCCCGAGCCGTCTAACGAGCTGCTACGTGCGCAGAGTTCGTCAGACTCCCTCTTCAGCGCGCGCGCCTGTGTGTGTGTGTGTGTGTGTGTGTGTGTATGTGTGTATGTGTCTGTGTTCGTTCGTAATTGTAGTTGGTCGATAGTGTGCTCAATCGGATGTCTAATGTTTTTCTCCCTCAATTGCCGCCACTAAACAGGCGCTTGGCAGCCACGCTCCCATTGTGCCGACAAAAGTCCTTGGCGACCCCGAGGAACTCGACCGATACCTGCTGCGTAGTGGCGCTGACGCCTACAATCAGAGACGCGAGCAGGGTGACTTTGGCGAATTGGACACACATGTGAGTGTCAGAAATCATTTATTGCTCATGTCTCTTGTCGTGCTGCTTTCATTCGGTCATCGATACGATAAATTAATAACACCGAGCGTTTCGGTGAAAGCGTCATTCAACCTTATCAAAACGAGAAAATGAATATTTTCGATTTGCTGATTTATTTGCACAGACGGACGAGCTAATAATATCATGTCTTGATTAAACTTGCTCGCGCTACAATTTACATCACTGTTGACATTGAACAACGAAATGTGCACCACTCGAATATTCCGACAGCCCGCGTTTCTATTCCGAAATATATTTTTCCAATACTCGAATACGAAATGAAAGGCAAACATAAACTCACTTGTTGAAATTTGAAAATAACAACATAACATTCCAAACGAAAAAACAAGTAGATTTTAAGCGATGATAAATTGGCATGAAATTTCGAACGTCGAGTAATACCAGTGCACGGTCGTCATATTTTAACAAGCTTGAAAGCGAAGCGAGTATATACAGTGCCGGTCAGCCACTTTTACCCCCCCACGGGCAAAATCAGTCTAACTTCAAAGTTTTATATCTCTGGTAGAAATTAACGTACAGAGACGCGCGTGGGTGCGTTTGAAAGGTCTTTCGGAGAGCTTTCAAATGATATGACTCACGGTTGCCATCGATTGTTTTTTTAAATTTTGCAACAATTATGCAAAATTGAAAATTCTGAAATTTTTTTATTATTTTTGACAATTAGCCAATTTTGGAAAAAAAAGGTAAGAAAATTTGAAGTACACCATTTTTTAGCTATTACCAAGCCCTATCTGAATCACTCATCAAAAATTTATTTTCGTCAAATATGACGCGCGCACGGGCATTTTTTCCTGGAAGTGACAGTTTTTTTCAACATTTTTTATCTCCGTCAAATTGTAACAATCGAAAAAAATTTTATAGGAGAAAAAATGTTTGTTTTTTCACGTAGAATACTGCAATAATTTTTTTTTCGGTTTTTCGAAAAATTTTTTTTTCTCGGTTTTTTCAATTTTTTTTTCTCACAGTCGGTACGCTAAAAAGATGAGAAACCACAAAAAAAAATTTTTTTCCACCCATTCAATAATACTACATAACAAGTATCGTAAATTACATAAAAAAAAAATCTTTTTTTTTTCGACCTTGAAAAATAATTTTATCAATAAATAAATGAAATAGCAACAAATGCGAAGACAGAAAATATTTTTAATGTACACAAAGCAATAAAAAATTTTTTTTTGTGGTTTCTCATCTTTTTAGCGTACCGACTGTGAGAAAAAAAAATTGAAAAAAACCGAAAAAAAAATTTTGCGAAAAGCCGAAAAAAAAATTATTGAAGTATTCTACGTGAAAAAACAAACATTTTTTCTCCTATAAAATTTTTTTCGATTGTTACAATTTGACGGAGATAAAAAATGTTGAAAAAAACTGTCACTTCCAGGAAAAAATGCCCGTGCGCGCGTCATATTTGACGAAAATAAATTTTTGATGAGTGATTCAGATAGGGCTTGGTAATAGCTAAAAAATGGTGTACTTCAAATTTTCTTACGATTTTTTTTCTAAAATTGGCTAATTGTCAAAAATAATAAAAAAATTTCAGAATTTTCAATTTTGCATAATTGTTGCAAAATTTAAAAAAACAATCGATGGCAACCGTGAGTCATATCATTTGAAAGCTCTCCGAAAGACCTTTCAAACGCACCCACGCGCGTCTCTGTACGTTAATTTCTACCAGAGATATAAAACTTTGAAGTTAGACTGATTTTGCCCGTGGGGGGGTAAAAGTGGCTGACCGGCACTGTAGATGAACTTCATCGTCCTTTAAGCGCGTCGTCATCATTTTGCTGTAAGCTGACCGAAGCCTGTTCGCGTTCACGTCCTATAAAATCTTCCAGTGCTCCACTACAATCGATTGTCGTCGAGCTTTCACGCTTGATCGCGCATATACGTTCTCATTGACTGAACATTATGGTTTTGGGATATTAGGGTCGCTCGAGTCTCATCATCGGTGCGCCAGGTGCGTTACCAATCGGCGAGCTTCCTGTCATCTCGATGGAGCCGATCGACGTCAACGCTTTGCCCGAAATGGAGAAGTTCACTGTTGAGCTCAAAAAAGACAGTTGCGGTCTTGGCATCACCATCGCCGGATACGTTTGCGAGAAGGGTCAGTGTTGCGCTTTATTTTTACATAGTGCGGATATTGATTATTTTTTTCTCTCTTCTGCTTCCGTGGTTAAGAGCAATGTTTATAATCTTCATTTTTTTAAATATTCAATTGTGCGATTCTGACAGTATCAAACGAATGACTCTTTCGTGCTGGTTTCAATAAATGCGAGGATAAGAAATATAGCAGTTTCAAGTGTGAAATGCGTAACCAGTTATTTTATTTGTTCGTAAAACAACGCCATTCGAGATATTTCGGAAGAATGATAATTGAATTTTTTGTAAAAATTCAACCGGCGACCAAAGGATCTTGCATTTGATATCAATAAAAATATCAATATCTTATTTACAGAGGAACTATCGGGTATCTTCGTAAAGAGTATAAGCGAGGGAAGCGCCGCCGATTTGAGCAAGCAAATCCAGATAAACGACCGAATCGTCGCAGTGAATGGTCACTCTTTGCAAGGCTACTCGAACCATGAGGCCGTGGAAGTGCTAAGAAGTACTGGCTTGACTGTCACTTTGTGTTTAGAAAGGTATCTACGTGGACCCAAGTATGAACAGCTGCAGCAAGCTATCGCCGCCAGTGAACTGAGACCTCCACCGCCTGGCTCACCTTCCATTGCTAGCCTTCCAACATTCCCTATAAGCGCTGTAAGTGTATTTAGTTACATTCGCAGATTATTGATTTGCTGTGTATTGATCACTTCTAAAAGTGATTGAAAAAATTAATATTCTGTGTATTTTTTCCTATTTTAATTTCATCATCTCGTAAAGGTGGTTCGAAAGAATAACCTTTAGCATCTTATCATTAAATAAAAAAATATTTCAGTTCAGTAAGTATTTTAGATACCTCGACATTACATTTAATAATAACATTAAATAGGTCAATAATAAATGAATAATGTACTTTTCTCATTAATATTTCAATGTTCTTCAATCAGATTCTATAAATTGTATGAAGACATATGAAAATAAATTTCTTTTCGCTTAATAATTAGAAAAAGTAATTGAAATTCCAGTTTTTAGAAAGAAGAGATGCTACATTAGCAGAAGGCACATCAATAATGACGGGATATCAACTTTCAGGACGGAGATACGACTGAAATTGAGCCGGAAGGTGAATCGCATACGACGGTTGACAGCGCGGTTCTGCAAGAGATTGATCGCGACGTTTTAATGGATATTTTGGATGAGGTCAGTAACGTTGAAGCACTTCTTAGCGATCCTTCTACTGAACTGACACCCAAGATCGAAACTGCCATTAAAGCCCAATGGCAAAAGATTGTCGGGCCAGACATGGAGATAGTGGTATGTACGCGCTTTAGTTGTAAAGTTTTACCGCGACTCAGATAGCAAACTTTTACCTTTCAAATTTATTCTCTTCCTCCAGGTGGCTCAACTCAAGAAATTTGCCGAAGGTAGTGGTCTTGGAATCAGTTTAGAGGGAACAGTCGATGTGGAAAATGGCCAAGAGGTACGACCACATCATTACATTCGATCAATCTTGCCTGAAGGACCAGTCGGACAAAATGGTATTTTGAGATCAGGAGATGAACTTTTAGAGGTATTTTACTTGAACTCGACGATGCATCTGTTATATTTGGAATTTCATTGAAAATCTTTAACCTCAAAACCAATTGTAGGTTAACGGTTATCGTTTACTGGGTATTAATCACATGGAAGTGGTTAGCGTATTAAAAGAACTGCCAATCCACGTTCGAATGATTTGTGGAAGAAATATCGCTGCTCAAGATCCACTCTGCCCAATCGATACTGCCCAGCATCAAGCAGCCTTCCAAACAAGAGTACGTCAAGATATGTTTGCTATTATCTATTTGCATTATTGCTTGCACAAACTTATTCTATCAATTAAATTTATTTACAGAGTATACTCGGCGGCTCTTTGCAAAATTTATTACCATCGTCAGATCGTTTGGTTAAAGCAAAATCAGACGGATCGTTAGCTTCTACCACAACGACCGCCACAGTAACTGATGCTAGTCTAAACAAAATGAAATCTCGCTCTTTAGAACCTCTAACAGGACTAGCAATGTGGAGCTCCGAGCCACAAATCATCGAACTAGTTAAAGGAGAGAGAGGCCTTGGGTTCTCCATTTTGGATTATCAGGTATATCAATTAAAAAAATATTTGTAAATACACAATAATGTTATTTTATGATAAGGTCGAATATATCACTTATCATATTAATTGCAGATTGATAAATAGTTAATTTAAGAATGAACTATTCAATTTAAAAAACGATACTAGCTGAATTATGCATGTCATCGATAATAGTACAAATTTATTTCACATATTTATGCGTGATGCTCATTGTGTACGTTACTGAAGTCGTCGCATATAATTACGCAACGACTTTGGTAATGTGTGCTGGAATTGACGCTTAAATCTAGAGTGAATAATTTTGGTACAATTTAAAAATGAAATTGAATTTTAGGATCCAATGAACCCCAACGAGACTGTGATAGTAATAAGATCCTTAGTGCCGGGCGGTGTTGCCCAGGTCGACGGTCAACTTATTCCTGGTGATCGACTACTCTTTGTGAACGACATCGCCCTCGAGAATGCAACTCTGGACCAGGCGGTACAGGCACTGAAAGGTGCACCCAAAGGCATCGTGCGCATTGGTGTGGCGAAGCCGCTACCCATTCCTGATAGCATTGCACAGGTGAGCGATCAAGCTGACCGAGTTGATTTTAAAAAAAATACAAGCAGCTTCGCACCAATTATGGACAGCCGTAAACAGAAGCACGAATACTTTCGCGAGAGAAAGATTAATCTCATACAAGCATCTCGCCATATGGACTTGATCGAGGGCTTACAACATCAGCATAATCTTGTTAAATCCGAAAGTTTTTGAGAAAATGATATTTTTCTATCACAGATGCCGTTCAAAGTATAAACAAAGAAATAATTAGAAGAGTTGTCTCTACAAACATTCTATGATTAGAAAATTTAATACGAGTTGTTATATTAAATTATTTAATGACTCTTGTTAATTATTTGTTTTGAACGCTTTGTTTTGAAGTAACGTCACTTTTAATGTAGAAGAAATTTCAATCGTTTTTAAAAATTTTAAAATACTCATTTTTTTCTCAAGGTTAACCAGATTTTTTGGAGAATAGCTCTAATCTTATTTCAATAGAAAAAGTCTAATAAAATTATTGAAACACCTTGGATAGCTTGCGATGAAACTGTTTCATCGTACATCGTGAGTACGTTAATTTGAAAGCCACTCTTTTTTAAAGAAATTTCTTTAGGCTCACTGAAACACTCATTTTAATCTTCTCTAGTTCTATAAAATTTCACTGCATGCTATCCTAGGTAGTCCATCTAGGAAACTGATTGCAGAAATTCATGAAAAATATTCAGTATTATACAGTAAAGACTAATGTTTCAACTAAGAATTCTAAATCTTATTCAGTCAAAGGTATTACTGAAATTACTGTTTACTAAGCATTTTCTTTTGGATCTACTTTAAATTTCTACTTTTATTTAATTAGATTAGTTTAGTAGATTTTTATACGAGCCATGCAAATTTTCATTTTTTAATTTAATAAAATTTACCTACTAGTTTTATTATGATTTGTGTAGAAATTATTTAACTAATTTAACATCGCATTTATATTCATCGATAACGAAAGTTATTTACACGAAGTAATTTTGTGTAATTTATTAGGGAACATTCAAATCAAAACATTAAAAATCTTTCTTACAAATAGTCTACTTAACGATATTGTATTATAATGTCCTAATATTTAATGCTTAAAATATTCAGGAAGAAAGGTTACATACTTGTATATACATATTCATGAGTCATATTACATATTTTTATTTTTTACACATTTGTAAAGATATCGTCCTACACATGAACCATGATCATGCGTTTTTTAATAAGCTTATGTTATTTGTGTTTTTACGTTCTGATTTTGTTTGCAATATTGTGTGTATTTAGTTTTTAGTGAAATGCATGCTTTGACCACGAACTAATCTTCGTTTGATAAAAATGCTTTTTTTCTTGTTTATGTAACTAGGGTATAACATATTTCCTCGGATAAATACGGAAGCTTATATTTCATTCATTTGACCATTAATTTATTGTAGCATATACATAAATCATTCGTTAAGTTGTTTACCATATTAAATTATTGACATATTGGAAATAATTAAGATTATCCGAGAAAATATATATACTTAAGCGATTGTCAGACTGTTTATATAAGCGACTTTAAAAAAAAAGCACACTAGTAGTGCTCATATTCAACGTTATTATTACACTGACCGTGCAATTTTTAAAATACATATCATAAGAAAATGTCACATGACCATTACAACAATCGTGCACTTCTATATAACATGGAAATTTATATTTTGCAAGATAATAAATAGGCTACACAGTTTTTGTTTGTTTAATACAATTATTTTCATCATATTGCTCCCTCGCTTTTCATGCATTGTGAATAATGAAATTGTACATGATATCACATTACTTATTAAACATACAAACATTTTTCTCGATGCTTGATTACTGATCTGTTATTTGGATGTTTCCAAAGCAACGCTAGTTATTTTTCATGCTTTCACGTGCATCCTCTTCACAGCTCTTCCGCACCAAAACTTTTCTTACTGAATAACACTATTTAAAAAATGTTCTTTCACAGAGTGTTTAAATTCTGTCTTTTTAAAAGTAGCTCTTTAATTACAATGAGATGCATCATCAAATCAATTTTGTGTTCATTTTCAATCTTTCTCATCCGTTGAATTGTATGCATAATTATTATTTACGTTGATATCATTAAGATATATTTTGTGCTACATGCGTTTTTTAGACAAGACAATAGATTGTTTTTATTTCTGAAGCAGAGGAAGTCCGAGCAGCGGGAACCACTTAAGGACGTAGCGTCGTATTGTACATACTGATATTCTTCGCATATATAGCGTGCCGACAATTTTTCAATGGTTTTCCTCGTAATAAAAGATAACGAGTACTATGTATATGTACATGACTGAAGTACGACTCCGTTTTTTCCAGAGGTCTTTTACTGCACTTTACGCAACTACGATGAAGGTCCCTAAGTATACACTCCACCGAGTATCTATATACGCACATTGACTTTTACGTAACGTTCTTTTCTTTTTTCATTGAATTATTTTTTACTTAAAGTCGTGGTGATAAAAAACAATCCTTAAATATAATTAATGTAGATTAGAACAATAGTTGGTCTTGGATCAAAACGTAATCTCTTCTTCTAATCCAATGCGCTAAACCTTTAAGCTAATACGTAATGTTTATGTCTTTGTATTTGCTTTTTCATTGGCTGGGTTGTACATAATAATGTAACATATATGTACCGCTAGATGTCAAAAACGCCATGGCATAGTATTTTATTACTAACAACGCAGATGCAGCTATTAATTCGAATAAATATTCTAGAATTCAGAAGAATTCAGTAATTAAATTACCTAACTTTGTACTTTTGCAACTAACTTTGTAGAGTTTGACGTTTTTATTACTGATTAATTAATTAAAAACTTCCACCATTTCTTAAAATATCCTGATTCAATTCTGCCGCTCCTGTAACGCAGCTATAGGTATTTTTTATTCTAATTTTAATTAATAAGCCTTTTTTATATACAAAGTTTATAGTCGTACGTACGTAGATTAGAGAATCGTTTCAGCAATTTTACTGAAAGAAACTTATGAGGATATATTTTTCTACTTCATATAGTATACATTTGATTGATTTCGTGGCTAATTATACGAAGTACAAACTTTTTAGTAAAAACGTATAATAAAATGCAGTGATTTTTAAATGAACAGAGATTTGACAAACGATACGTACATACAAGATAAAAAAGGGACAATTGATGAAAATACGCGGTTATCGTGAGTATTTTCCGTAGAGGTAGGTATTTTTTCAATAAAGTAGTGATTTATAGCCAAAATAAATTAAAATAATAGATCAAGTGCTAATACCTGTAGATAAATAAAAATATGCAACGTAATTATACACTGATTCAAAGTATACTTGACGTATACAGAGAAATATGAATCTACTAAAATCTATTCATATTTTGCTACCAGTATTTGAAAATTTTTATGAGTTTACAAATATTTGAAATAATATTTATTTGTGATAAAAGTATAACTCGTTGTTAATAAAAAATGAATCGCGAAAAATTGTGACATGTACTATTTCCATTTTGCCGTCTAAAAAACCATTACAAATACTGAAAAAAATTAATTGCTTCATTTATCAACACACATATGCTTTGTTCACACCAAAAATTTTTATACATTTTTCTAATAATTTCAACTAACTTGTACATTTTCGACAAAGCAATCATTCAAATCTAACAAATGCATTCCTGCCTGTTTTTGTTCACTGTCACTATATGATTCGGCTGAAACTTTCAAATTCTATGCCTTCGCTATTCTTTAGCATAACAGTATTTTACTCGTGTCTATATATTCCGATCAATCTAGTAGATAAAAACATATATGAAGCTTCTAGGGTTCATCGTCCACCAATAATAAAACTTAAGAGTTTCCCGCTGCCTCGCCCTTCTTTAAACTTTATTTATTGTTTTTTATCGTTACGATTGTTAGCACAATATTAATACAATAATATTTGAAAAACAATAAAAAACGAAAGAAAACTCTTACATCTCTACTTTTAAATCTTTTCTATTCTTTCTTGATTGGTAGATAATTAACAATAACAAAATAGATAATTGCGAATGAAAATGAGAATATTTGAATCAGATAATTCGACGTCGTTTATCAATGGCGGTCCTAACTTTGGAATTCTCTTGCTTTTCAGAACAACTTGTAAACGCCAGAGACGGATCGCGGGAGGATAATCAAACTTGATTACAACCACTATGACCAAATAAATGCAATATGTCCTTATTATGTCTGTTTTATCAATATTACGTTAATATAAACATATAAATATAAGTCACGTTAATAAAGACGAAATTTATTGTACATATCAACTTGGTATATTTTGCTTTGAATATCGATCCCCAATTCCTTCATTCTTTTTAAAATTTCAATTTAAAAAACCAGTAAATAATTGAATAATTCATTAATCGCGCTCACTCTCGTGACTCACTTTCGACTGTAGAAAGACTGAAACTACTTTGCAAAGTAGCACAAACTAAAACCAATTCCCGATAATCTCTTATAGCTGATCGGGTAGCGATCGGTAAGTACACGTTAACTTATTTACAATCCCTGTGCTATCAACAGAAAAGAATAACAGTTAGCATCAGTGTCAACTCAATAGAAAATTTTTACCTATTTCGGAACCATACTTATATTTTCTTATTCTCAAGGCTACTTCTTAAGACTGTAGCAGGATCTTGAATGCCAACAAAAATCCATATGCAACTTAGTCACTGGCATGTTTGTAAGTGCACTTTGTAAAATTTTGCTCGATCACTAATTATTTATTTTCAATCAAATTTAATTATCTTAGCAAAGTGAACAATTTAATTCAACAATACTCAAACATATAGTTTTTCAAACTGCAAAAATTCGCTCAAATTCATGTAGTTGCAATATTGTGTTCATCCAAAATTCACCCTGAACGCACAAAGTAAATATAAATATTACGGAAAATGTAAAAAGAAAATGAACAAAAGCTTGTAGCATCCAGCGAAATGGCTAACTTGCTCGCGAAGCTCAAAATGTCCTTGCGAAAGAAAAAATGCAAATCAAATCTGCCAAACAATTTGTAAATTCGAAGGCCAGATAGAAGTCGAAAACAAACGGGCGCAAATGTTCTCTCTTTGCGGTTCGGACGCGTAACGAGCGGCATTGTGCGTTGCGTGGACGGAGAACACAAAAGGCTTGCGCATGACTGCGCCCACCTATATTCGTCAATTGAAATTCGCGATACGAGCTGCTCGCGCTCTTTGTCTCTACTACACCGCAGCTTTCGCACGAGCCAACCTCGCATTTTTGGTACGACTTCGAGGTATTTGCACTAATTGGGTCGTTGGCTATTAGAGAGCTTGTTCTTTGCGGTCAAACGCTATCTTCTCAATCGAATTAATGAACAATTAAAATCAGAAACGATAGTTCAGAAAAAAATAGTTGATTGAGTTACTGTACATGAAACTTGTCTTATGTTTGGCTACTTTATAAATTTTGAAGACAGCGAAGTCGATATAATCTTCGCAAATTTAAACGGAATTCAATCTAAAAATTAAAAAAAGAGGTATTTTTAATCAAATGATTATTGTTGATTCCATTTTCGAAAATTTGAAAACTTTTCAATATTGACAGTTTTCGTGCTTACAGAAAAAAAAATTTTCCGAATGAAAAATAAGTAAAAATGAACTAGTTCTCGAATGAAAAAGCATATTCAAATTGCATAAACATAAAAATAAACAGACGTCAAACTGTTACAAAGCTTTATGTTCTGTGTTTTTTTTTTCAAGCAGTTTTTCTACCCCAGCTGCATCTGCGCATGGCATGCACATGAAATATCCCCGTTATCTAAAACAGAATTAGTTTCAATGCAAATAGCGGTATGAGTTATATTATATTTTATAAAAGCTAACCATTAAAAACGGAAAACTAAAAATATCTATATTTTTTGTATTTTATTTCGCGACAAAAATTTTATTGAAACTGCGACAAGAGGCCATTTACTAAAATGATACGAGGTAAGAAGCATTGATTTTCTTTTAATCTCAACCTTTTAATATAGTAAAAATGCAAGTAAAAATATGTCTTTTGTTTGTGTTGAAATTGTGCGGACGTGGACTGAATAGTAAATTTCTATCAATAAAATTTACATCTGAACAATACGTTATCGTAGAAATATATCTAGGGTAATGCATCAAATGTTAATCGATAAGAAAATAGTCGCGCATTCATTCATCACATAATGATCAAGTAACCTGTTAAAATCGCGCAATGAAGTTAATTCGAAATCTAGTCAATACACTATTGTGTAAAAATCACGAATATTCGCGGTTGATCTGGAATCAAAGGATTCGGTTCGGTTCCATGGGCAGCACACGTACCTGTAGAATAAAAACAAAATACTCGATAGAAAATGCTGAGATGTATATATGGAATTAATCTTTAGCCCTCTGCTACAGAGCTTCCTTCGTTTCCGATTTTGTTGACTCACTATTGAAATTCCACATTTATTTTCTACCTTACAGCATGTGAATTACACTTCGCATCAAATTTATGAATATTAATTAATATTTTAGATTATTTATTTACTTTACATTTTAACACAAACATGTTAGAGTGGCAATAAAATAAATTAAGTATGCAGGATGTATATTAGCAAGAGACATACTGAATATAACGCGAGTGTTTTCGAACCGAAAATAACGTAAAAACTGAATTAAACGCTTTCTAGATGTTGTGCTTGAGGTTTCCGACCTCAAATCGAAAGTGCTTCTAACGGTAGCAAAGGCACGGAAGGTAACAGGGTAAAACGATGAAAGAAAGGAAAAATTGAGAAAAAAGACCGGCAAAAACAAAACAATAACGAAGAGAGCGAAAGCAATCGGGGTAAATGATGGAAATCCTCTTTTTCTTTTCCCTCTGCTTATGTATCCGTGACGTACGCACGACTGCAGCGTTTGGCTCCGATAGGCATAGTCAGGCGTAGCAAGAGTCTACCGGACAGCGATGCCACTGACCACGGCGCAGCTGAGCTTCTCGATTTTCTCTCGTCAAGATCAGGTGAGTTATCCATTTTTTTCACCGAGACCTCGGTTTGATGCTTTCCACGGTGAAATTTACTGTTGCTCTCCGATTTATAATGTGGATCAAAGCAACTACTATAGACACCATTCGAATATATCAAGTTTTATTCACAAACAATCACAACCACTACACATCGGTTGAAGATACTTCTTGATTGTAATGCATTTAAACGAAAAGAAAAGATTCCGAAGAGCTATTTTTGGTACATACCTATCATTTGAAAAAAGAAATCATCACATGTGTGCGTTACCTCATTCACTCCTTCCGTAAGATGGCGTCCATATTTCATCTAGTTAACCTAATTATTATACAATATAATAGGTCGGTAATATTTGCTTTGATTTATTTGATGTCCAAGAACAAAATGAATATCTTATCATTGAATTTCCAACCTATTGATCATCAATATGAATGTAAATCGAAAACGATAATTAACTATATTTACGCTTGTGCTCTAACAATTGAATTTAATGCAATGACGAAGTTTATAAAAGGAACTGCTTTGAGAAACAAAAATATCCGTTTGAGTGTGAAATATCAGTGAGTTTCGAGCGTCAGATTAACCATTTCACGCCAGTTTCATTTTGACGTAATAGCTTACGTATTTTTACTCGGAAGCATATCTCCAAAAGAGCTACAGTAATTTTCTTACAATAAACTTAAATTCAAAAAAAGTAGAAACAATTGAGCTGACCAAATTGAAAGAGCCGAATGAGTTAGAGCAAGCTGCTCTCTCTCTCTCTCTCTCTCTCTCTCTCTCTCTCTCTCTCTGGAAAGCACATCAGCGCAGCGCATGCATCTCCATCTGACAGGGATCTGTCTCCCTCGCGTGCTTCGTAGACAAAGCCGTATCTCCATGTCAACACTGAGCCAATCTGCTCTCGATCCATTAACCAAGTGTCTAGCGATCGTTCTTGCGATGTATGCATATACTTAAGAGCCCTTGCCAAAGCCCTCCTCTATCGCTCTGCCACAGGAGCAAGCGACGCAGCAGCATCGGCCGCAGTCGAGGAGGATGGACAATCGGACGGTACCCTCATCGACGACAAGGCCAAATTGGAGTTGCCACTCGCGATCACTACCGCCAGTAGCAGCGACAACGTGCTGCTCGGCCTCGAGGAACTACTGCCGAGGACCAAACGGAAAGACGACCTCGAGTTTGAACCGCACTCGCCGCTCATCAAACTCACGCCCTTTCCCGAGGAGCAGAGACGCGCCATGGTCAGGGAAGATCCGCTCACGGCCATTGACGAGGACGTTCTTACTCCGGCCCGGCCTTACTCCGACGCGGCTCGGTTACCCGATGCAGGTAAGGCTTCGCGCTCGTCGACGCGAACCAGCAGCAACGGGACGTCTTCGTTAATCGCTGCGAGATGTTGAGGCTGCGATCAATAAAGCTCGACAGCTCGCCAACGACGTTCACAAGCCGATTATGCAGGTGGGCTGCTGTGGTGAGACGTAGTCGCGTCTCCGTTTGAACGCAAAGCTCAAGGTTTACGCCCGCGGCAACGCGATTCGGTTGAATTTCATTGCAAGACAAACGCACAGCCGTGTGCGCACCTGCGTGGTTGTCTATCGATGCTCGTTGAGAGGCGCGTTGTCCTCAATAATCACGACGACGACGAGGAACGATCGCCGGTACGAATTATCGTGCTACACGTACGCCACGCGAGCGCAAGCTGCTGACCCTTCCCTTCAAGCTAATTCGGCAAGATTCACCTAACCGAGACCCATCGATCTCGCATCGATCAGCAGAAGCGGAATCGACGAGGCCGAGGCGCCGGAAGAGCACGCCGACCGAGCAGCACGAGCAACCGCCGAGCAAGGTGAGCTCGTCGTCGCGGAAGCGATCGCTCGGCGCTGTCGAGGAGTCGAGGCGCAGCGAGCTCCGGCGCCAGGAGAGCATCGATCGCGTTGCCAGGTATCTCGAGTCCGAGGAGGCGCGTCAATTCACCGCTGCCGAAGATCGATTGCTCGAGGAAGCTGCTGCCACCGAGCTAGATTTCGTTGAGTTTTCACCGACGACACCATCACCACCACCACCACCACCGCCACCACCACCAGTTGTGCTTCTCGTGTCCGACGAAGCCGTTGATAAAAGGAGGCCCTCGTTGAGGAGAAGGCGCGAGGATGCCGCCGAATCTGTTTTCAAGGACGGACAGGTGCTTGTTTTCATTTGAATGCCCAAAGCTTAGTTTCCAAGTAGCACGGTTAGTCTCTCGGAGACTACGCGCGCAGTAGGCTATATCCTTCTTCGATACAACAACGTTGAATATAACGTACGTGCTATCCTCGGTATCCATCTAATACGCTTGCGATTGAATTTGCAAATCAAGGACCGCTCTCCGGTGGAAACGGTCAAGAAAACGGTGCGCATCTGCTCGGTCGAAGAGGAAATCCAGATAGAGAGCTTCGACTCGGTCGACGCGGACGAGTCAGCATTTTATCCGGGAATCCAGGAGGTGCAGCTTGTCACGGCGAAAATTCTCACTGCTGAGGAGTTAGCTGAGAGCATTTCTAAGAGAGATATGCCTGACAAAAGCCTATCGATGGTACGTACATACATATGAAATCGGAAAATGGCAGGTTGATTATACCTTTGACTGGACGAAAGTAAAATGAATTGGCGTTACGAAACTTCCGGGGTCTGCTAACGTTTGTAATTCAAGAGCGCGTAACAAACATCGATTTGATTTTCATCGACGCGTTGTATTTCTCGCGCACTAGCAATCTCGAGCTAATTTTCTCTCCGAGAAAATGGTTTTGAGCCAGCAACGCAAAGCCGACGATCGATTGCCAGCAGGCAGCGCCCGCTAGCAAATATTTGCGGCATGCGGCAGTAAAGACTATTTTCAAAACTTTCTCGTATTCAAAACCAGAATCAATGTTTACAGTCAACTATTTGCCGAACCTTATGCAACTTTCCATTAAAGCACGACTCACGCTAACCCACACAGCCAGTCCGCAGTAACTAGTCTATTTTAGCGGTATAGAGCAGCACTACTTACGGAAGTTCTCGTTAATTATCCATTTCTTAGGAAAGAAAAGAAGAAGAGGAAGACGAATCGCCGGGCATAACGAGACTGGCGATCGAACGGCTGACGGCTGAAGCTCGCCTACAGCCCGCAACGATCAAGCCAAGCGCATCGGAGAACGCGTTGAGCGGGCGTGCAATTGACGATAAAATCTCCGAGAAGAACATTAAGCCGGAGATTTTAATGGATCTATCACGTGTGAGCGACGAGTTGGAGGAGCAACAGCGTCAACAAAGACTTCTTACTGATACCGGTGGCAAGCGCAGACTCAGTCGCGTGAGCAGTGACAGTGCTTGCCCACCACCCCTGCCCTCTTCGCAAGTCAAGTTCCGACTTGGGGGCCAAACCTTCTCCGACGAGGAGCCACCTTCATCCAGACACTCCGAGACGGACTTAGTGAGTGTCGGACTCGACGACAGGATTGTCACGACTCTAGTGTACGACAGTCGGACGCTCGTTAGTACCCGCGAGAGATTCGACGCTGGTGAGAGTATTCGGAGAGAGGAGGCTGACAAGCTTGTGCTTACAGGTGCCGAGAAAAGGTGGACGAGGTGAGTCAACCGTTTTTGCTTTTCTATTCGAGTTTGGATGATTCTTAGCATTTTGTGCTAACAATATACATTTCTTGAAATTGCTAATCAAAATATACACCGGAACGATAAATCTTGTTTTTATTCTATATTATCTTGTTTCAAATAACATTTCATAAAAGGAAGTATGTCGCGTTCATTAAAGTGAAATCGATTCAATGACGATGAAAAGTCTCGTAAAATTTTTAAAAAATTTGTGCCTAACTTTGATGATTTTATAGACTTTTAATAAACTAACAATTTTCAATGACATGTAATAGTAACACATCAAAACGACGAAAAAAATACTTGTGAGAAAAAAGTAAGATTATGCTACCCGGAAGTCATGATTTATATGCCAACATTTTTCTAAATTCTCAACTCTTGTCTAATTTTTACTCAATAGCAATCAGAAAGCTGGATTTGTTACAACAATCACAATTAGAAATTTGATCGAAATAATTTCAAAGCAGATTCTCAAAATGATCAATTATTAGGGTATTAAGAAATTAGTATATCACGATTTTTAAATTTACATTTGAAAATTCCGTTGAGAAATTCCAAATTGAAAATGTCACGTTGTTAATAAATATTTCATCCGGGCTTTCCACCGTATCTTTCAATCGATTTATGATGCATCCGTCAAAATTCACACTGCGTGTAATCGACTCGTTCGTTTCTGCAAAACGGAAAAATGATTCAATTTCTCTCATTCGCTCACTCGGGATATCGTTACTTTTAAATGCAATGAATTCTCGCTCCCCGAGTAATTTAATAACCAAATGCATTTAATATACAATCCACACAGACACCCATACATAATTGTAATATCATTCATCTACAAGTGCATAATTAAAAAAAGAAGTTGTACCTTACATTCTTTCAATTTTTCAAAACCTACGCAGAAAAAAGTAAAGTATAAAGTATACCGCATAAATTCCCATCAGTTTTCCCAAGTCATACCGTAACACTCTTCATTTCACTAGGAGGCGGCCGTATAGCTATAGGAGAGGACGTATTTCCTGTCGTACATATCAGGCGGGAAAATCCAGCTGGCTTTCTAATTTCCTTAGAATCCAATCCCTACCATGAGATGATTTATGGCTTTCGTGTTTACGGTTTACGTTTTGAAAATTGTCGCGCACATGCGAATATGTCGTAGTTAATTAAAATTCAATAAAAATAATCGGAGAGGCGGGTCTACGTACTCGTAACTATAAGGTACGAAGACTAATGCGTACAAGTATCTAATGCACCTCTACAGCGTTCTACGTAAACGTAGTTCTTGAAGTCACAAAACAATAACAATAAGTTAGTGCATGTACACGAGTGAGAGTTTCAATTAAAAGCTCTCTCTCTCTCTCTCTCTCTCTCTCTCTCTCTCTCTCTCTCTCTCTCTCTCTCTCTCTCTCTCTCTCTCTCTCTCTCTCTCTCTCTCTCTCTCTCTCTCTCTCTCTCTCTCTCTCTCTCTCTCTCCTCTCTCTCTCTGGCGGAAATGTAGGCCGATGAACCTTGACTACTGTCGCAAAAGGTTTGCGTGCACGTAGGAGAGAAAGCACGAGCGACTTCGCTTACAAATGGCTTCCACCTTTACTATGACTAAACTAAATCGCACTGGCTTGTTTACCCCTGTAAGCCTGTTAAGCTATATATGAGCGAAAAGAGGAACGAACGAAAAAAAAAACAGTAGAGCACGATGCAGGAAACGTGCCTGAATACGTTTATATATATCAATGAACATACATATATACACTCCCGGTAATATACTGAAAGCACATTCCCGCTGCAACGCCAAGGTCTTTCGATGAAATGCTCTCTCTCTCTCTCTCTCCCTCCCTCCCTCTTTCTCTTTTTCTCTCTTTCTCTACTCGGCATTGCCTTGTTAATCCGAACTTAATGAACTTGCTGAATAATTGCTTGGCTATTATTCTACTAGATGGATTTTACTGTGTTTTTCTTTTCCGCGAGCTTTGTGCCGCTTATGAGCAACTACCTGGCGCTAATTGAAATTGTAATTGAAAGTGGAAACACTTGTGTGCTCTGAAATTACTTACTACGAGCGCTTTGCCTCGTTCATCGCACTATTAAAAATATACAATCTTGAGTGTCAACACAACACGAACGAAATAACAAGCTATTTCAAGTCTTTCTACTGTCAGATCAACTGGCAAAGTAAGGCTTATTTTAATTTTAGACTTAACTGTGATGGCTTCCAACAATCGTGCACAATCGGTAATTAATTTATTATTAAAATCACAATATTCTGCGAGACTATCAATGAAAAACGTGAGTTTCCTTAAATCTCATTATTCGAGCAAAAATTACCACTGAAAAGATCAGGCGTTTCAACATGATTAAACTTTTTCATTTCATTTGGAAAAAGCTTTCATCGTTTCCGACATCGCTGGAAATGATTACGTGCAAATTTGTCTCGATATTCTTTTGAAAACAGCAGGCTCTGCTCAGGTTTCGTTTTGCTAGTGTAAAATTATAAAATTGATTTCCAAGTTTCACCTTACTACCCATTATTTCAAGTATAGTAATACGAAACTAATTGATCCCTTCAACATAAAAACGATGTACACCCAGTGAACTAGTCGGTAGGTATCACCTCATTGAAAGCTTACTTCGTGAAGAACGTAGGAAGAAATGCCATTAATTCAAACGCACGAGCAAGAAAAAAAAGGAATGGAACTGCAGCGTAGTATGTATTGATTTCTAGCGAGCTTGCAAGCGCGCCGAGTTTGCACGCTTTGGAAAACGGACATATCGATGCAAAATAAAACGAAAATTTCACGAGCTTCGGCATCGCTGTTGCCGCCGCATGCGCAACCTACATTCCATCGCCGACGTCGGAGCGGCTGCAATTAAATGCCATGCGGGGGTTTCTAAAGTCACGCGGCTAATCCAACCTAAATCCGCTTGGAGTCCAGTCGGATGGAAGACGAGATACTGTGTTATACATTCATTTCTCGGATATCGAGGTAAAAAGAGAAAAAACACGAATCCCAAGAGGCGTTAACTTTTCAGCATCTCGAGCACTCTCATCTGAAAAAAAATTGCTGGCATTTGAATATATGGGAATAAAAAAAGATAAGATATTTCTCCAACGTTATTACACGTATGGAAAAACCATATGTACGTTGGGATTATGAATAATTACATTTCCAATTTCCATCAAAGGAAAAAGGTTTTTCCAACTCATTCTAGTGCAGAGATGAAATGTCCACATACAATCTGCAAGAAGCTTATAATACAATATATAGATGATATACTTGATACTTCGTGTTCATGCTATAGTCGATAAAATTCTTTTCGATACTCCGTGCGGAAAGTGCGTTTTTTCCGCACACTTGGCAAATGCATTGAAAATCGCACTTTCCACACGTCGTATCAAAAAATACAGTACGGCACATGTTAAAATACACACTTGTATCGTAATGTAATATTTTAGCTCTAGGCATGTTTTTCCCAGCACTGATGCATATTTTATTTGGAAATTTCTGCAGTGATAGTTTGTTATGAGTTTATTTGCGAATATAATTCTAACAGATTATTACAATTCATTAACCCTCATCATTCTGCATTTAGACGTTTTGTTTACCGCGATGTCGATTTACTTTCAATTTATCACGATCTACAGTAGAATTCTCGAGGCATACAAGCTCTTCCCGTTCCCTCGGAATAACATATGATTATTCGAATTCTTCCAGTGCAAAAAGGCTTTATTACACTCTAAAAATCATTATTTTAGACTGCAAACTCAAGAGCACAGCGAATATCGTTCTTAATAAACTGTTATTAATACACCTATTTAGTAAGTACAGCGAACAAATGCACGTTCGAATATTATTCTGATATTTTTTTATTCGCTAAGAGCAAAATTAATGCTTTAGGTAACGTAATTTCTTTCAAAAGAGAAGAGGGATAAAAATTAAAAATTATGCTCTTAAAGTACTAAATTATTATTCGCATTAGATCGTGGACTAGGCTAATCAATCTTGCTACAAATTAATAAGCTTTAATGAAGTATTTCCTAGCAAATGTATTTTGATATATGTATTGTTAAGATATATGTATTGTTAAGATATATGTATTGTTAAGACTAGTATATAAAAGATAGGTTTTAATTTGTCACGCAAAGGTGATTGATAGCAGTAGAAATTACTAGGAAAAGCATTAGTCATAGCGGAAGCATAATTCCTGTCATTTTCAAGCTCCTCTTGAAGTCAAAGTGACGAAAAACGTTAACATTCAACACAATCAACTAATTCAAAGGGGCTCAATGACAATTCTTCCAGAATGAAAGAATGAAATTTTTCTGAAAACAATACGAAGCAGTTAGGAAAAAGCGAAGTTATAGGTCAATTACAAAAAACTTGAACCCTTACAAAAAAAAACGAAATCACAAGTCTCTCGGTGAAAAGTTGAGATGCGAATCGATCGCTTTTACAACCGATAGACCTACAAACGGGGATTCCCAGGTCGAAGCGAAGCAGAAAAAAAAGTACAAAAGCTCGTTCGAAGAGAAGAGAAAAGCTGTGCACCTTGGCCGTATGTATCCCTCATTTCCGACACGAATAACAAACACTCTTAACGCGCACGCTCAGCCTTCTGTGTATGAGTGTGGTGTGTGTGTGTGTGTGTGTGCGTGTGCGCGTGTGAGCGAGCGTTGTTTATTAGATCAGCGTAAACCAGTTTGCAGTGACGCACAGAGCAAAAAGAGAGAGAAATAGAGAGAGAAAAGGAGAGTGAGAGAGAGAGAGAGAGAGAGAGAGAGAACCAAGCAAACGTCTTGAGAGAGCTTTAGTAGCGGCTTCGCTGTGCGCCACGCACGGACTGCGAAGCAAAGCGCGCGCGCGCGTACGTTTGTTGTGTTCAGCGCGGCTGGCCATGTGTGCGATGCCCCGCTCTTCTTAGATTCCAAAATAAAGTTACCGCGCGACACGCTGCTTGTTTAGTTGCGTTCGCGCGTCATATATGCAGTCTACTTTTTGATGCTTCGCCAATTTTACGAAATTTTCGTTTACCCGCGCCGTCGATTGTGTGAATTAACTTGTGTCGTCGTCATATCGTTACTCCATGGAGATTGTTCTTGTATTTGAGAGTTTTAGTCGTTTTTATTAAGAACTCGATTAGTTTGCCGATTTATGCTTTTGTCTCGTTGCCAGAGAAAAACTATTTTATGTGAAGATGCTGCTGACTCGACATTCGTAATTAGTGAAACTTGCATATGACAAATTGAAATGTCAAAGTGATTAATTAGATATCGAGATCAAGCACTTGAAACAAAAGAGCCTATTTTGCGGATTCCTGTCCATAAACAAATGTGTACAAGAAATCTGAGACACAACTCTTAAAGTGCGTACATTTTTAACGTTTGCTTTAATACTCGAAAACTACTTGAAAATTCGTTCATCGAATTTTTTTCGTTTATTTTGCTTTACACGACACAGTAACAATGAGATTGTGATACGCCAGTTAGTAAAAAAGATATTAATTCATATTAACATCCAGTGTGGTGATTCGAGAAGCGTACGCGAAAAAGATACGAGTGACGTGAGATGCAATAAGATCAAAAGTGACGAATGACACTGCGCTACTTTCTATCGCATTCGCATTGATAAAACGAGCGTGGCGTGTGATGTTTTTTACGTGCTCGAATCAGATTGATGACTTCGTCACGCCTCGTACATATGCAGTGTTATTGGATGTCATCAGTTAAGAAATCACTTGGCTTTGATTCCATGTGCTTTTTTCGTCATTTTTTGTATAGAGTTAGCAATTGCATTAATGCGTACACGCGCGTATGTCGTATTTACGTTATAGTTTCGAACCATTGTCGTAAGCCGTAACTAGCGCAATTGTGTTTTTCATTTTCATTGCGCGGTGACGTACACTTTCATTAGGTTGCATCGTTGAGAACTTTTTATTGGTTGACTAGCAGTTAAAGTTCTGTTAATAATAGATCAATAAGCCGTCAATGTGTTAAAATTAATATATTCCGATAATCAAATCATTATGGTTACCTTTCACGTAGATCAAATCCAAATAATAATCATCATGACCTCAAAGTTATTCAATATGAAAATATCTAACGAAAGTTAATTAATTCAATTTCTCGTTTTTTAATCAATTCGAAATTTTGTCCAATCCCACGGCTCAGCGTCGGCATCACAAAGGCAAATACTTTACTGCACAAGTCGAGATTTATGAAAGGTAGTAAAAAAAGAGCAAATATCTTTCTATTGTTTCTTGTTTTTCCTGCAACTAGCGATAGCGTAAAGTCGCACAGGACTTTAGGAGACAGAGAGGAGAGAAGCCCGAACAATACATCCCTCTAAATAGACATACATATACGTTAAATGACCTTGTCAATTTGACGCTAGAACATAACCCAGCGAATAGATCAATTAAGGAAGACTTTGTTCGGCTGTCGAAGAATAAGTACGTACACATACCAAGTAACCTTTTGTTGCACAACAGCGCGTTCGTGTGATTGTTTTTATTGAGTTGCGTCGAGTCGCGCGCGCGAATGTCTGTGTGTCTAGACAATACTTTTCAGACTTAAAAATGTATGTGATACTTCAATTTTATTTTCAAGATGCTTAGTGCACGAGACAGAAGCATAAAGCTGATGGAAAAATTACAGCGCGACATTGAGTGCCACATAAAAGATGACTACGAACAAGCGACGAATAACAATTTTTACCATTGCTTTATCTCTTCGACCAAGTGCACTGAGACATTTACTCTGCGTCAATATATAATCCTGCCTCAATCCTCTGATTTATTAGGAATTTGATGCTCGTCTTTTGAAGCATCTTCTGTTTGCGATTAAGGAGCCACTCGAAAGAACGTCGACGAAATCGATCGGAGACATGGCCGTTTATTACGCAAAAATGAAAAAAAAAACTATCTATGGCAACTTTCTTGAATAGTACAGAAAAGTTATCTAAAATTCTTTATTAAAAATTTAGAGGAAAAGAAACAGAGATCAAGCGGAAATTTTTATGAGATACAAAGAAGCTTAGCTTCCTTTCGCGTTTCAGCTAACGGATTATTATCCAAAAAATCCGGAAACAACGTGCACACACATTTAATACTCGCAGAGGATGCATCTCTGGGCCTTTGGCATTGATTCAATACGCTAGGAATTTAAATAAATCGAACTCCATTCTTCAAATGCCGCGTCGACAGACTAAACATTGCCGGTCACCGCTGTATAGTGACTCCAGTATTGTTGGAGCTTAGCCAAAGGAAATGTTTTACGGATTTCGCTTTGTATTTCCAAAACCTTCTGTTTTCTACTTTACAGATTGCACGCTACTGCAGGAATGTGCCATAAAATGAAATGAGCTGGGCATTTTTTTATCGTTCGGCCATTTATCGAATTAGCAAATGTTTATGAGTTTAGAGTATGTTTATAGTTTAGCAAAAAGACATCGGTTTTCGTGCCTTAATATTTCGCATTCTTAGGTTATATCTGTATATATACACACAGTTTTTATCGCGACTACCTCACTGTTTTCTTATCATAACATCGCGAAGATGCGAGACAGAACGTTTGAACAAGCAATAACCGTTTTGAAAAGATAATATTTGCTGGTTGTAAGACTCGCGTGCTTGGAATAGCAGCGGTAACACGGATATTGCAGTGCTTATAAACTGAAGCATCTTCAATATGAATGCCTTCCTGCGTACGTACATCTGTTTGCACAAGATTCACTGAGTTTACAGATTACGTGTATGTCCGCCTACATCGGCGTACTGCTTTTTGCTATACTATAAAGTGCTTATCAACTTTCACCACCTAAATTCGCAGGTTTTAATAATCATTGCTCTCGGGCGGCATTTGCAGAAGGTCAAACTTTACAGCCGTGTCTTTACGTAACTGGAAAACTATGAAATGCATAGTTAATAAGAAGCGCTGAAAACGATTCAGAGAACTTGCGAGTTGCATGAATTTTGATAAACGTTCGCCAACTTTAAAACAATCTCCTTCTTCGAAAATCTGAATGCTCATGCGACAGCTTCATTCGATTCGATTCCTTTTTATGATTCTCAAAAGCCATAAAATCTGTTTACCCAAACTTCCTCCCACGAAAAAAGTTTTCGTAACATCCGAAAACACCTTTAAGATAAAAGCTTTTCTTAAAATACTATTCGCATATAAAATCCAGAAAACCGATGCATCACATCGAAAACATTCTACGCTCGAGAGACAAGCTACAAAGATACCTTTCGATCAACGAAAAAACCATACTTTTTTTTCTGGCGCGGGACGATCGCATATCCATTAAAAGCTCGCCTCGTTCGCTCTTTCGTGCTCGCGCGAGTATCAAACCGCGAAGCCTATTAGCCGCTACCACCGCCGTCATGTGGCTATTGCGGATCGATATAGGCAGAGACGCCGCCGCCGTGGCTTCATTCGTTCACGAGCCATCAAGAAATATGCGCTCGCCCGAATAAATCTCTCTCTCTCTCCCCTAACTTGTCTATCCGACGCAGTGCAATTGACGGATTATATTTTCTTTCTATTTTGATTTTTCAGATATATCTCTTTCTCCAACTTAATCTATTATCAGGGTTGTTTTTTGCTCAAAAATTTCCAGTCTGGATCTGAATTTCATTATTCTAATTTGTAAAAAATGTTAAGTTCATAGCAAAGGATTAATCCAAGTTCTCCGTTACGCAAATTGTGAATTTATAATTCATACAGTCTAAACGTTATTATATATTTTTTTGCAAATACTTTCTCTGAAAATTTTTCAGAAAGAACGTAAATGCGTAATGTTCATTACGAAAATAACATTTTTATAAGTAATTAAACCGACACGTCCCATAAATCTTCTGTCAAACTCTTTCATTTTCATCCTGTTAAGCTATAAAATGTTTTTCTTCTCGGTAGCGAGCTTTTTCATGAAATTCCGTAGTTGAAAAGCTAATGTCGTGATAAGGCATCGTTAATTGTTGTTAGTAATAAAGGAAACTGCGCTCCGCACATTCTCGATTAACATTAATGGCTATCTGGTTCTTATTAAACACGATAATTTCAAATACAATTTTATATTTAATTTATCAGAAATTTTATCGAACGATCGTCACTCTCTCCACACTAGTTTTTCACTCAAAAATCGTTCACACTTTGTTCGTCGATACTTCAACGTTGAACAAATTTGATAAAAAAAAAAAGAAATCAAAAAACACAGATTAGAAAGCTTGAAGGGCGATTTAATTCTCAAGCTATTCAATAAAACCAAAGCTAATCAGTAAAAGACTTCTGAAAAGCCTAAAAGAACTCATTAAAACTTGAAAAATCGACACCTCAGCATCACTGTAAAATCTGATTGTCTCGCAGCTACGAAGACGTCTGCGTCGTTGTTGGCTCGACTTGGCCGAAACTCCGTCGTAAATGGTGTAGCGACAGTTCGCCATTCGCGGAGGGTCGTTCGCGACAGCGTCAGCGACAACGTCGAGTCGTCGATCGCAAAGAGGAGCCGCCGCCTCCTGCAGTAGTCCACAAGGCAGTATCACCATCAGTTGACGATGACCGGGACAGAAAGAGAGCAGCAGTAGCGGCAACGAGTGGCCACCTGATCAGCTGCGAACACTCGCTCACATATCAACAGCAGACCCTCGAGAGCTCAGTCTCCCTCGAGGACCTACTTGGTACAGGTCAGTGGGCAAACCTACTCTCTATATGTGTGAGCTTCTCTTTGGCCACGATATTTGCCTTTATTTTCGAAAGTTTTTTAATTAAATTTTTTCATTCAATAGAGACGTATCTGATCTAGCGATGGATTCTTTTTCCTTTGATTTTTTTTTATTTTCAGGGTCGAAAAATACAGTTGCATTTAGTTTGTACTGAGTAAATATCGTTGGCAAAGTAAATGAGCTTAAAAATGTTTCGTTTGATGACAAGTGCCAAAAAGATTCGAGCCGCTGCGAATAAAACTGAACTATTTGAAAGATAACGGAAATTCGTACAGCCTAGCTATACAAATAAATTCGAGCAAGAAATATAATCACTTAGCGTATTTTTTCCTTCTACATTTCACTCCTAAACGCAAGCAAAAATTTACAGAGGTCGAAGTGAGTCCAGCACCAGAGCTCGAAGTAGAGAGCCTCGAGTACTCATCGAGTCAGAGTCTGCTCAGCGCCTCGTACAAATCCTACGAGAGTCCAAAGCGCGAAATCGAGACTCAAACCGAAGGCGAGAACAAGTCAACGCAGTACGAAGTTGAAGATCTCGCCTCGTACATCGACGAGCGTTATGATTCCCGGGAAGAGCTCGAAATTTTGATCGAGGCTCGTTTCGCAAGTCCGAAGCGCGAGGCCGAAGTGCAAACCGAACAAGAGTGCAAAGCCGTGCAGTGCCGTGACGAGGAGTTCGACGAGTTCGCCTCGCTATTTCGTAGACAGGCGTCGTTTGGCAGTCCGCGACGCGACGTTCAAGTTCAAACTGGCCAGGATAGCAAGCAGACGCAGTGCTACTATCGCGAGTTCGGAGACGAAGAACTCGTGAGTTGGCAGGAGCCGCCATTACCAGCGAGGATCCCAGCTGAGCAAAAGTAATAAGATAATTGTCATAAGAGTTGTAGATGGCGTACGCGCGGCGTGCAAGAACTTTTGAAGAGCGTTAAATTACACGAAAGAGGCGCAGAGTAGAGCTTTCCCCGGGAAATGTTTCAACTATCATGACGTATGGGGGGGGGGGGGGGGGGGGGAGAAGTTTTGCTCCACGCGCAAGCGACATATGATGCATCATAATGCACATGTTAGTCTCTCGGCGTGTTTACGTATCCGGAAATTATTTTTCTTTCTGCGATGAATTTTCATCGTCCCCACTAAGCCACGTCGTCTCGATGCATCGCGACGCTGTAAGTTTTACATTTGTAGGGCTTCTCTCTACTGCATGTGAATGCTTGTACGGCGCGTTTTTTTAGGTTGCAAGAAAAATATATAGATCAGAGGTAATTTTTCGCGTTTGAAGAACGTTTGGTTTTTATTACCATTTTGTGTACGTTAAGCATCACGCAAGCTTATCTTCTTTCTGAGTAAGATAAAAGCGTTGATCTTTTCAAATTTTTCAATTTAGAAAACAATTATTTACCTGTTAGAAATCTCATCGATTTATGAAATCAGAATATAATTGTTACGGAAGATTTTATTTGTTGATTTTAATGATAAATGATACATAAATATATCGAGATTAATTCTCTGATTAGAACTGAAATTGCTCGACTGAGCCGTTCCGAACTAGCTTGCAAGCGGTTTATTCTTGCAAAAAAATATATTTTTGTGAATTTATCGAATTTGTTATATTGATTTCAGAAACTTGCATAAAAGTTTATAATGCTAACTGTTTTTGAGAAAGCAAATTATAAAAATGTAAAATAATTTATTTTGATTTGTCTTAGAACAATATCCTTGAGTTTTCGCGAAAGGCGAGGACGCGGTTCCGCTAATTATGAAAAATTTGGTGTCCCAAATAGCACAGAAGCGTAAAAGCTCAAGCCGGTTTCGTTTAAAAAGCTTAAGGCAACTCAAAGTTTCAAGCTGAAACTGTAAAGCTGTAACAGAATGTATCAAGCATCACCGTGATATGCCACAGAGTCGTCGAATGTTCGTCATCACGCGAGAGCTCGTCACCGGGTAGCTCATCGCCAAAGCACTTGGGTCCTCCACTGATAGTGCTGGTGAAAGGAGGAGCCAGACCAGACATGACGGTGACACATCGCGACAAGGACGGCAACGTCGTCTGGGCAAAGCATTGGGGCCCCGAAAGACTCGTGGAAATCTATCGCGAGCATCAAACTAGCCTTGGTCTTAGTATCGTTGGTGGCAAGGTGAGCGATTGATTTTCCTTTAATATTCACCAAAGCGTCAACCAATGCAGGGGCGCGCTACATACTTTGAGAGATTGCAGCTTATTGAGCATGATAAGCGCGATGTATTGCTGCGTAAATTATGAGCCGACGTTATTTATTTTTCAACTCGTAACGATACCGCATGAATATTAATCAGAGAATTTAGTATTCTGTCGACCAATAATAACTTGTCCATTTTCACGAGCTTGCATGAAATACAAGCTTTTCAATTGTATTTTGATCCCACGCGTACAATAGCAACGGCTAGTTCGCCAACAAACTACATTGAATACCTGCATATTGAAATTCAGTTTCCTACGAATGAAAAGGAGTGAACGTCATTTGCCTTCGTTTCCATAGCAAAGATTGGGGATTTAATAAGCACGGTAATTTGCAGGTTGACTTACAAGACAGCAGCTCCACCGATGCTCAAAATGTGTCTGGAATTTTCATTAAGAATGTGATACCTAACAGCCCAGCCGGCAGAGCAGGTGGTCTACAGGTATGCAATAATTGAAAAAAAAAATTCGAAAATTTTGCCAAAAACAAAAAAAAATAAAAAAAAAAGGAAATTATTATTCTAAATCAGATTGTTTTACAAAATACTTATTTCAACGTCGATTCTCGTCAAATTACTTATAATTTTTTGTAATAACGTTGCGCAAGCTGGAACACGTACGCTCTCACCGAGCTGAAGCGTTAAGCATAAATAATTGGTTGTAGTCGACAACATTAATTACGAATTTCCCATCAAATTATCGATTAATGGGGAAGACTACGAAATTGCCAATCTCGCGGAAACTATTGAAATGGGAACGATAAAGACTGGAAGTGACCTTTCCAATGCACGTTACAGATTCCATCGCGCCCCCGCGTAATCCAAAAATGCCGGGTGATGTGGAATAACCTTTAATAGATTTGCATAACACCCGTGAACCTCCGGTCAATTTTGAACCAATTCAATTGAAGCAAATCAAGGTTTTTCTATTAAACATCGCTCACAAACGTCTGAAATAATATTCAGCCCACATCGTCTAATCTCACGACAGAACATACGTACATACACGAGGGAATTTAGTTTTTCCTGACGCAAAACCGGAAACCGAAGTATACGTATCGAAATGCCGTGTACGCGCGTATGTGAAATTGGTCTCACACACAAATGTAATACGGAAAACTACGAAAGAAATGAAATATGAAGCTTCTGGTTGTCTATAATCCAAATGTGTCCTACAAAAAATGCAGATACACATACATGTCTCTCGCGTAGAGGATTGTTTCTTTTTTTTTTCTTTTATATATCAAAGTATCTACACGTAGTAGTCTTTGCACGAGAACGTACGTCCTGCGCGAAACTATCCATGACAAGTTGCATAATATTTCAATATAATACGTGCGATGCGATCCGACGCGATGCAGCGTCGTGTATAAAGTTGCGAGCCAAAGTTCGACGGATGCGCTTTATGAAATTTTTCAACTTTGGAATTTTATATTTAAAAAGAAGTTAGAGCCATCTTTTTGGTTGAAACGGCTGTATTACGTCACTGCAGCCAGAGTGTAAAAGGGTAAAAGCCCTAGTAAACTAGCAATTAGTTGGAAATAGAGTAGTTGAAATTCGAGGAAAGAAGAAAAAAACGGATTTCGAGAGAGCGCGCGTCATCGATAAAGCAGCGATAAAATTAGGCTCGATTATTCGAGGGTTCAGAGGCATCTGACATATTTGCGATTCTGCTATTTCTAGACTGGCGACAGGATAATCGAGGTGGATGGCGAAGACCTACGAAACAGTACGCATGAACGAGCCGTCAAGGCGATCCAAGCTGCTGGTAATCCTGTCCGCCTACTAGTTCAGTCTCTCGTGCACTTGGTAAGCTCTTCTTTTTTCTCGTCCCTCGTGCTAGCTGTGTGACAAGACATTCGTCGTTGTCGACAGCTCCTTCTCGCAGCCTTTATTTTCATGCGCTCGATGCCTCTCCGACATCTGCCTCTATGCCCGTGAACGACAAGCGATTTGCCGCGCGGGATTTCGACTGTCGATATATTTGAGCTATTTGGGTTACTCCATCGCATAAGCCCTATACTTTTATACCCATTCTTTGGATATTGCATTAATACCGATATATTGTTTGAACGTGCGCGCGAATAATATAATTGAATAATACTACTGTGCGGTCGATTGAAAACTTATCTTTTCATGGGGAATCGCGAAGTCATCGAAACGATTGAAATTTCAGAAAATCGGTCATATGAATCTTTGGCACATATAGGTCGTAAATATTTCAAATGTCTCTTTTTGCACGGGTGCTATATTATCGTTCAACTTCGAAATAAATATGTTGCGATGCTAATTTTTCAAAGAAAAAATTATTTTTGCATTTCTGTCTGGACGTTTTAAATCAAAATACCTTTCCGGTTATTACTCGTGACGAGATACACGAGTATGAAAATACACGTAATCAAGACGAGCGTTTATCTTCCTGTCGTTCATCCAACAAAAGTCACGATAAATTGTAATCACTTGGAACTCAAAAAATTATACTTGATCAGAAAACAAATGAAAAAGCAAGAAAGAAAGAAGAAAAAGTGTGGCAGAAGGCCTAAACGAAGCCAATAAAAGTGTCCGTTCAAAGCAGAGCGCCCGTTCGAATAATCGAACTGGCGGCGGGGAGAGTGGCACGAAAAAAGACCATAGCATGCGCACGCCAGGGAGAGAGAGAAAGAGGGCGGTATCGAGGCGAATGCAAATAGAGGCAAAAATAATAAACGCGCACGATTGTCCGAGTGACGAGCAGTCACCACCACCAGTACCCTGCAAATCGAAAATGTACGTATGCACGTATACGCTGCCCCCTCCTCGATCAAAGCCGTCCAATCAATGTGTAGAGAAAGACGGTGACGACGCGAGGGAGTCCCTCTCTCTCTCTCACCAATAATCTGGAAGGCTACACACGCCAGAGTGAGAGAAAGATAGAGAACGGGGGTGGAATAGAGTCTCGACACGGGTCACAGGGGCCGAGCGATACTCTCCCACCCTCTCTCTCTCTCTCTCTCTCTCTCGAAAGAGTAACAGGCTGAGTAACGGTCCAGCGCGCGCGTGCAACTCGCACCAAAGAGTCTCATTTAGTATGTCTCCGCGCGCGCGGCGATGCAGCGCCTCTTCCCGCGCAAATGCGTCACTTTTGTACGTCACTTTCGCTATAATACGAGCGATCTGCCTGTGTTATTCTTGGCCTCCACTTCGATGTCATAGACGAGAAACTCGTTCGCGGCCGACGCGCACTTTGACGTTTCTTGTGCTTTCGTTGAGAAATCTTGGCTTCGAGCGAATATAAAGCAGGAATAAGGAGATATAAGTGCAGTGGTGTTCTGTGTGCATATCACGATTATTCTGAAATTATTATTAATTCTGAAAGTCAACGTTTGCCTTCGGCAAGATATTCTCTCACTCTCTTGCTGCACTGCACTGTGTCTCCGTTTACCGCGAGTTAACGACAACGTATTTCTCTCCCCCCCCCCCCCCCCCCCCCCCCATATGCGTGTGCGCGAAAGAGGGCTCTTGTAAAATTCAGATTCAGCTCGATGGAAACTTTTAATTGTGCATGCTCGTCTAAAAACCATCGTGACTACAAAATGTACATTGGAATTATGCGTGCAGTCTACCGTTGCAATACGTCGACTGCGGATTCGACTGAAAGCTCGCGGGACTTTTCAGACAGAGCGAACGAGAGAAAAATACAGTCGCGTCGGCGGCGGCGGCGCGGAGAACGTATAAGCGCATGCGCTTGCTTGGAAAATTAATTAAGCCGCGCGCGTTGGCAAAATGGGAGTCGGCAGGCAAGCAGAAACTCGTATTACGAGGACTAAGAAGGAAGGGTGGTCGCGAGCTAAGAGAGGTCTACGTACCGAGTCTAACTTCACCCTTTTTCGTCTTTATTCTTACAGAGTCCCGACGAGGCTCCTACGCAGGACAGAGATGCCAGTAGGCGGCAAAGCACGAGGAACCGCATGCCCGGCTCGCCCACCCGACATAGGTCGCCGGAAGTGATTCAGGTCAGTGGCTTTTTGCATAAAGCCTTTTATGTTGTTCTGCGTTCATTCAGCAGCGGCGGCGGCGGCACACGTTTGCCATCAACGGTATATTCAGGTCATTTCTTTCTGTGCGCTACCGCTGCATCCGTAATTTTAGATGAAAACTCGATGTGCGCGCGATCTTTCAGCGCCGTGGGTTGCGGTAAATCGTTCATTCGCAACGCGATGTTCCATTACGCTTAATGCATCCATCCCTGACACCGTGGTCCCAAGAACACGGCTGTATTGTCGAATAGTATTAACAATATCGCTATCTTTGCTAATCAAATTTTTATAGCAATTCGTTAATGCGAAGTAACACTGTTCTGTGTCACAATCGCTAACGTTATTATGCTTTTGAAATACCACCGAATCGTGAAATCTTCAAATCCGTCATTTTTTATGTCTATGTATCAACGGCGAACTTGCAAAACGTCAGTTCAATCTTGCAACAGTTATCCACGCAAATAAAAATCTTGAAGTCACGCTCTTGTAGCGCGTCTACGTTCCCATGAAGAATACGACAAATCCAGAGAAAAAAAAAGAATGAAAATCCAAGCGAAAACTTGATGCATTCGCAATGGGAGCTCAAATTTCCGTCGATGCCTGTCCAATCTTACCGAAAGCGTGTGCTTTTTTCTTGATTACGAAGAGAAAGCGGAAAAGAAAAGCGAAAAGAGAATAAGGGATGTAAGGCGCGTTACTAAGAAACTCGCGCGCGCAGAAGTGTGCGCATCCGGAGGAGGATATGCCTGTGCGTTAAAGACGGCGCCCGTCCGGTACGAAAATCGCGCGCGTGCAGCCAAGCGACACTGCGCCCAACGCAAGACTCTCTTTTATTTCTATTCTTATAATAGCGCCTTGTTGAAAAGGTACAGCAGCGCGCGTGCATAATGAGGTACCGCCGCTGCGAACCAGGCGAGCGACAGAGAGAGAGAGAGGGGTGCAGAAAGGAGAGACTTTACTTATTGTTTTTTTAATTGAAATCGTGATGGAACGAGCGACCTTGCGGCGTGCTATGATGAGTTTACGACGAAAATGACTTTTCTTTTCCGTTGGACTCGATCGGAATTAATGCCGTAATACCGAGCAGGAAGAAGTGTTGTACAGATCACGTCGCTGTTTTTTTTCTTCATCGGTGGTGCTTACGTATGCAATAATTTGCGATCGATGTGCTTGCAGGAAGGCCGATCAGACTTGAAAAGACAAGGAACTGGGGATGGAGCTGGACCTAGTGGCAAAAGGTTAGTTATATAGCAGTCAGGCAGCAATCACAGTTGTATTTATCTTGGCACGTGTCTGACCATAGCGTATAATTTCCACTTGCGCTTCATAATTAGCAAAATAAACTTTAGCCAAAGCTCCAAAGCTGCGATAAGATATTCTAATATACCTATAGTCCATTATTTATTTTGACACTCGTCTCATGAAGAGATGTTCGACGATAGTTAAGAGGTGGACTTCGAAAAAGCAAAATCTCCGAAACATAACACAGATAAAAGAAACGCAAAAGAAAAATCAATCTGACGCGCAAACAATGTGCTTCAGATCATCGATGAAGAAGTCGATACGCAAGAAGGCCCCATCACCACCAGGTGGCAGTGGCACACTGCGCGATGTCAACGAGGAGCGTGGCAGTGACAAGACCAAATCAAAGCCGACGGCTGCAGCAACGGAGGCGCCTAAAAACAAGTATTCGTCAGGTGAAAGCTCCGAGGAGGAGGAAGACACTCGAGACCTCGAGGGAAACATCTTCACTAAGACGGGCATAGAGGCAAGTTAACTTTTTGCAAAATACAATAAATCTTAAAGACCTCCATTGAGGAACTCGGAAATATAAAGTTTACCGTGGTGCTGTAGTGTTAATTGTCCGCGAATAGATTTAATTAGAGCAAGACTAATAGCCGAAGTTTGCTTAACTCGCGTTAACGCTCGGTAAAACCATGTTCTAATTAAAGATACGTAATCAAAGGGCGAATTGAAGGTAAACGTCCGCACGCGCCCTTACTTTAAGAAATTAACTGTCAATCACAATTGGAGTTAGAGAATTGGAGCGAAAATTTAATTATCCTAACCAAGCGACGTTGCAGACAATGAAACAAGATAAAAAGCGATAAGTAAGCTCAGAAAATGTTGCAATTAATTAAAGAGAAAAAAAATCGCTCAGGCATAACAATTAAATTTCCGGATAAAATTAAACCTTTAGAAAGTGGAGGTCAAGTGAAAGTCCTCTTGCGCACCCTTTGATCTACGTGAGAAAAATGAATGTGCACTTTTTCGTGCACGGCGATTATAGCGACAGCGCGCTGCAAAGAAACCGAGAGGCTCTGTGTGGCTTATGCCGCCTCTTGAATTGCTGGATTTTTACCCGTTTACCTTCCATGCGTACTTTTCAGTGTGTTTTTGCGCGGAAAAGAGGGAAAAAGGGTATAGATTAGCACCTCATATTTCTCTTCCGGTGTGAGGATATATGCTTCGTGTGACTTTTTTTATAAGCTCTAGCGCTTTATTTCGAAATGAGCACGGTCTAACTTCCAATGAAATTTCAGTGTTCTTCGGCTTTAACAGATAAATTCATTACGAATTTCAATCGAATTAGTTATTTTTGAATTCTTTAATATTCCTACGCAATGACTTTCACTAAAACACAAGATAACGCAGAAGCAGATTCAAGTTTTATTGAGCCCGCGCACTAATACTTTAAAGCTTTCGAAGACGAAGTCCAGGGCTTGCGAGAAATGAAAAGCGAGAGTTAAGATTCTATACATAGAACTTTTAGTGTAAACAGTATCGTTGTACTTTGGATTATATATAGAGTTCATACGCATCCGTTCACTTCCGCTTCTACATGCGAGCCTAAAAGAAACTTTATTGGCCGATGTCAATTATCTTTTAACATTTTTTTACAAACAAATATTTTTGCCTGACATTTCACAAGTACACAAAGTAAATATGGTTTAAAGTTTTTATATAATCTAATCAAGAACTTGGTAATGGGATGGAGATTATGAATCTAATCAAGTTGTCAATCATTTGTCGTATTTATGCTTTCGAGACGAAAATCGCTTTTGAAACCTCTGGTTTAATTTATTTTGAAGCTTTTAAGAGTATGCGAACGTATTCAATTTTTGAGATTAAGACTCAATCAGTTGAATAGCTATAAAACAAGAAATATTTAATTTTGAGATTTTGATAATTGCATGTATACAGTTAACATTCTTCAAGAAAAACATGACCGACTAACATATTTGAATTAAGATTTCAATCCGAATAAGTAAGTCAGCAAAGCTTCAATCATGCCTTACTCGTTTATAGATTTCAAGAAGAAGCGCTGCCAATGTGAAACGCTCGAAAGCTGAAATAGATGCAGACCCGGAGCAGGAAGATGAATTCGGCTACACAACTAGTACGAAAAGTTTTTTCATTATCGATTTCTCAGCTGATCGGTGAAAGGATCGTATAATGTTTTTTCCCTCTTTTACCTTTCCAGACAAAGTCAAGAAAAAGTATCACTATTTAAAACAGCCAGTGCATATAGTAAAAATCGATAGGGATCGCAAGGGACTAGGTATTTCATTGGCCGGTCATAAAGATAGAAATAAAATGGCTGTCTACGTTTGTGGTCTGAATCCCCAGGGTAATGCCGCTAAAACGGGGCAACTGCAATATGGAGATGAATTACTGGAGGTAAAAGCTCTCTCTGCAGAATCCAGTACATCTCGTCGATTAACAATTCAAATTAATCACACCAGTTATTTTTCAGGTGAACGGTCATGTGTTTCAAGGAAGATGCCACTTGAATGCTTCGTCGATGATCAAGGGATTAGCAGCGGCTACCTACACGATTGTTTTCGTTAGGTCTGTATTTCAACGATCGCAAGAGAAAACGGAAGCTCGCTCGGGCATGGAAACATCTGAACGTTTTCGGGATCGCTAGCTTTGCTAACTCGACGAAGACTGGTCATCGCGGCCTTGGCCTTCAATGCCACGCCGTTACACAATCGCGCACCGGCTGCGCTTTCTCGCGCGTATCCACGGACAATGATGACTGCATACAACAAGCGAGCAAAAAACGCCGCTGGAATAATTTTCATCGGACGACAATGCCACATCGCGCGATGCGTTATCACTTATTTCTTGTTCAATGATCAAATAGGGGGTGATACACGACGATTTGTCAATTTCGTTAGTCGACTTTCTTTCGTTTTTTGAACAAAGCATGCAGCATATCACTTGTTTGATTGCAACGTGACGATATTTTTAATTATGACTAAATGATCGAATGAAATAAGCATCGTTTTCGTATAATTTATCGTCAATTAATGGTAATTAATTACGTGAATTATAGAAACCCGATGGGAGCTGATTACTGTGCTGTCAGGCCGGTTGCACAGTTTCCAACAGCTTTAGCCGGCGAAGTGAGTACAAATCAGTGTACAATTTATTTGATCAAACATAACAATTGAACCAGACTAAATAATTGATATCAATTTCAGGACTACAGTATGTACAAAGGCGTTCATACTGTTCCAATAAAGAAGGTAATTTTGAATAATAAGTAAATGGAGATGCTTATCAAAGCGTCCGATTTTAATTAAAATTGAAAAAAAAGTGAAGGACGTCAGGAATAATCGCTCCATTCATAAATTTTCCAGGGTACGTACGGCTTGGGAATAATGATAATCGAGGGAAAGCATGCAGAAGTCGGACAAGGGATCTTTGTTTCCGACGTACAAGAAGGAGGCGCCGCCGAACAGGTAAAAGTGTATGTGTGTGTATGTGCGTGCGTGTATATGCGAACAACAACATCGATGCACTAACTGCGTCTTTAAAAAAACAAATATCGAGCGGCTGTTACAGCTTTTCTACTGTGTCTATTAGTCTAGGGGCCGATGGGGTGTCTTTTTGTGTATCAGTAGTTAATGAATTATTAACAGTTTTGCTGCATACACATTCATAACGAATACATTAGTTGTTTTCGATTGGAAAGATGTTAATTAAAAGTCGAGCTATTGCAATTTTAATTTAAAAGATATATCGGCAGCGTCCCCTGGTTTCGGCTCTCGCTGCGCGTTTTTTGTTTATACTAAATTCGCGATATCTCGACTTCTAATAAATATTTATCAAATTAATAAAAACCAGTACATTATTTATTTAATCCGAAATATATGACATATTTCACAATTTTTCTGTAAATTATATGTGATTACTTAAACAATTAAATTGTTAATAACTAACTTACGGTACAACTGTCGATAATTCACCATCGACAATCGTTTTAGCGAGACAAAATATAAAAAAAATGTAGGTAGGTCGCAACTATGTAGTTACATTATTTATTATTAACATTTTAATTGCTTAAACGATCTTAGAAATTTTATTAATTATCCTAGCAAAATTTTGAAAGATGCTACGTATATTGCATTAAATCACAAATGCATTGCTTCTTGAAAATTTGAAAAATATTAATTGGAAGTGGAGATATTATAAATCGAGTTCCAAAAATGCATAAATAATTAAAACATCAATTATAAATATATTAACTAGACCATTACAATACAATTAGACGTTTATAATAGACTTTGTCTCGCTGAAAACGAATTTTGATGGTGGATCAACGGTAATTCCATTGTTAATTAGTTATTAATAATTTCATTGCTTAAGCGATCATAGAAAGTTTATTTATTGTCTTCGCGGAATCATGAAATATGCCAAATATTAAAAATTAATAAAAAATGCAAATTTGAAAAATATTTATTAGAAGTTGAGATATTGCGATTTCACTACAAACAAAATGCGCGCGGCGACACGAATCGGAATGCCCTCCCCGAAACCAGGGGGCGCGCAGCCGATATAACTATTGAAGTCAAATTGCAATGGGTCGGCTTCTAATTAACATTTTTCAAATCAAAAACAACTAATGCATTTGTTATGACAAAGAATATACGGCTTATTTTGGAGCATCAGTAAGTTTATTAATAAATAATAAATATTTAAATATTTAAATTGTTAATAACTAATGAACAACTGATTTTTAAGCAATTTACCATCGAAATTCGTACTTAGCAGCTCAAAATACACAAAAAGTACCTTGATAGAGTTTGTAACCTCCGTCGGCGGCGAGACCCCCCCCCCCCCTCAGTTTCTTGACTACGAGTATATTAAACTTCATGTAAGAGAGCTCGGGTGTATAAATTCTTTTTTCATTGCATATACGTTTCTTTTTTTGTATAAACTGTAGGAATTAATTGAGTTGTATGACTTCAAGTCTAAACATATTTATAAATTATTTAAAACCATGTGCAGGAAGAAAAATTTGAGTTAAAAAGTTCTTAATTAATACTAAATTAAAGTTAGTGTGCCTTCGTATTTTTATCGTAGTGCGATCTTTATCTTTGTACTGCAAAATTTGGAGTAATTGAACTCGGAATCACGATAATCTTGACATTTATTTAGCATAAGAGATTTATAAAGACCTCTATTTCGATAATTCTTTTATCTTTAAGAAATAGAAGATATTAATAGTGTTTGCTCAAGTTTCGTGAAATTTCTACCAGTATCATTAATAAAAATAACAGCTTTCAAAGAACAAACGTATATTTTTCATGAATATGATAATCGCGAGTTCATTAATGTTAACCAACTAATCAATTTGCAGGCAGGTTTAAATGTTGGAGATATGATTCTAGCAGTCAATGCAGATACTGTTATGGGAGCAACATATGACGAGGTGAATATTAATACTTTCTTATTTGCATTAGAAAAACAGGCTTCTTAAATTCTCATTTAAAACCTTTTCATTTGTTATTTTATATAGGCCACTGCTCTTTTGAAAAATGCCGAAGGTATTGTGACGCTGACGGTGTGTAATCCAAATCAGAAAAAAGTTGCCGAAGATGAAGCAAAGAGAGCAAGAGGAGAAGTTGTGGAGGATAAGCGTAAGTTCTTTTTTGGTGTTATTTTTCGAAATAATAAAGCGTTTGGAAAAATCAATATCTAAGATGAAATTGTATTATATAGCTGTGAAAGAAGAGAAGAAAAAAGAACCTGATGCCCCTCATGATCCCAAAACTAGTCCTCCTAAAGAAAACAAAGATACGGTCATCGAATTCCCCAAGGAAAAGGATAAACCAATTGGTTTCTCAGTCGTCGGTGGAACAGATACTCCATCTGTAGGATTTTATATTACTATTAACTAATTAAAACGCGTACCTTGTTGCGTATGACACTCAAATTGAGTGTCTTATTTTTACAGAATGCCGTATTTATTCTCGACGTATTCCCCGACGGAGCATGTGGCAAAGATGGTCGACTGCAACCTGGTGATCGTATTGTTGAAATAAATAAAGTATCGTTTAAAGCCATCGATTCCGAACAAGCGTACCAGACAGTTCTCAGAATTACCCAGGGACCTGTAAGTCTTCAACGTATAAACAAACGCACTTAAGAACGAAAACTCATTGTTTACATTTCGTAAAATAATTCCAGATAATAATGACAGTTCATCGCGGACCTTTGGCATTCGAAGAGTTTGAGGTCGAGCTTACGAAAAAAGCAGGCAAAGGATCCGGTCTTTGTTTGATCGGCTACAAGAGCGGCAAAGGCGCTTACGTATCCGAAGTGGTGAGATGTCAAACACACTCGCACGAATGGCATTCCAAAATAGCCACTGGAATAATTGTTAATTCAATTTCTTTAGTCCAATTGATATGCGCTGTTCGTTTTTGAGTTTCAAACAATATCTACTTATTTTTTGTCTTTCAACAGTTTCATATAAGTCACTCAAAACAGAGAGACATACCGTATAATTTTTGTATTTTACCATCTTGTTACGAAATCGAAAGTATTCATACTACGCATTGTACATTGAGTATTCTTTTTCAGTCATTTAACTGGAGCAGAAGAAAAAAGCAATTGAGCAACGTGTATTTTCAACCGTTTATTATCCCTTTTTCGCAAACATTCTTGCACGATTTGCATGAATTCCCGTGGCTTTTGATACGCAATGCGGCTATAATTTTTACTCGTACGCACTGTGCGTGTGTATACATAGGAACACTTTACAGGTGCCAGGTGGCAGTGCCGCGGAAAGTCAGAAAATCGTGAAAGGCGACAGAATCGTTTCGGTTGGCGGGCAAGATTTGCGCGACGCACCAGTCGAGGATATTGCACTTCACGTGAAAGTCTTCAATCCGGTGCAGCTGAAACTGTCCAGATACAGATACTCCAAGTGACAGGTGAGTCAGCATATATACATATATCTAGAGCTCTATCGACTTCCCACAACCTATCCATGCGACCTATTCTTTATTTTTGATATTGACCAAAAGAGCCGCCGTAGCTTACATAACCAGATTGACTGTTCAATTGAACTATGCGTATACACAGAAAGCCACAATTCACGATTGAAAATGTCTCTCGGTGACTTTCGTTTACGTACGATCTAATTAGGACTTTGTGCTTTATTTTTTATATATACGTTTCAGGTATGCGGAAATGGTTATTGCACGCAATTTCGAATTGAAGCGACTTGGACATTGAAAATCAAGCCGCTGATATTGCGTAATTAAAAAAGGAAATTATATTTCTTACTTACTGAAAAATAAAAATTAATTTTTTTATTATCAATCATCCGTGCACATTCTCCTGTATATATATATATATAATTTCTCAAACGCAAGCGGTAAATATTATTCCCTCGAGCCTTTGCGGATAAAAAGGCCAGCAAATTTCTCAACTCCGAGTGAATTGGCACTTATTCAGTACACTCGCTCGAATTGACTTAACGATCATCCATTCACACGCAACTCTCAACTTCGACTAGCTACCGCAGTCGCTATATAATAATATAATGCAGCGCGTATTCCGGATCTGCGGCATTGTTGTGTATATGTACATATCGACCAAGCTAATCGTCGCGAGTGGCACTCGCTTTCTAATGGGAGATCCCGCGGCTAATTATGATTTGCATAAACGCCAACCAACGAGCGTGAGCGTGCACGTCTACGTGCAGTGCTCGTAAAACGCACGTAATATGCACGTGTACGTCACGTAACCTGTGTCCTTTCGGTTCACTTAATCCGAACGCGAGATTGAAAAATGAGCTTTGTTAACGCGCGGTCCGCTCGTTATTTCGCAAATGAAGACATTTCGCGAACTGAAGGTGCGAACGGAGAGCGTTTGACGTTCTCTGATAATGATCCTCATTTCACAGCTGAGTTCGAACTTTGATGTATATATCTCTTCAAGTATATTAAAGATTCAACAGTCAATGTGCAACAGTTTATTTTGTGTTATTAAACTGATTGTTAGCAGTATATATTTGTTGGAATGGCATTGCTACTTTTGACTTTACTAACAAGAAGTATTTGTTTGTTGTCAGGGTTCTGCAGGCGGGACTCTGAAGCAACATCGTAACCAATACGTGACTGCATCAGCTGCTTAAAGCTGATTTGAAGGATTCTAGTGTGATATGAACTAACATAATGTAGTCTACTACTGAGAAATGAAACCAAAGATATAAAAAATGACAAAAAAATGAATAGACATTAAGAGTAGGAGAGAATGAGTGTGAAAAAATTTAATTGTGTCGGGATAATTGATTTTAGTCTTTATTGGCCGTTAAAATTATTTAAATTAATTTCGGCAGTGAAATATATGGTCGTTTACAGTTAATTTATTAGACAGGGAAAAAGAAAAAATATAGTTTGCTCAATTTATCTGTACTGATACAAATTTATAAAGCTGTAAATTGAACAGGATCAGAAATTTTTAAAAAATATATTGCAAATTCTCTTATAAATGTACCAAAAATAACGAAATGTGAATAGATCCTTGAGGATACTTTAAAAAACTTTTCCGAACCATATGCTAAATAATATAATGCAAGACAACAATTACGTAATTTTATGGAACCAAAATCATGAACATGACAATTCACTGATGTAGTGACACTACTTTTGGTCTGTACGTATTTTGGCAATAGAAAATTAGGAAATTGATGATTCGCATTTTTGTGCATATTATTTTTTCTTTCGCTTGATTTTATAGTGTGAATTATAAGAGAAAGTGCGCTTAGACTTTAAATTTACAACTATTTTGGAGATATTTGTAAACTTCTATGATATACTTGTTTTTACGACTGTTATATCAGATATAAGCAAAAGATACATACATTTATTGCTTTGTGATCCAATTGTAATTTGACAAGTGTATGAATTACATTTTACGACGTGATCTTCTACACAAAATTGCACTATATAAATTCTTGCATTTGAAAATACACACGTACATATATATACATATATATACACATTCCTTCAAAAAGTTACACTGAGAATGACCTTTCATTTACATTATGAAACCAAATTAATACTTTATACAATATACAAGTTTTATCTATTCTAGGATTAGTTCTGAGTTTTCAAAGGGACCAAATGAGTTTTGATTTTTTTTTAATAATGTACTTAGATTAAATAATATTTTAATTTTGAATTTAATTTTAATGTTTAACAACTACTGTTATTTTCATTTTAGTTTTAATGTGTATTCTCAGCGTAATAACACAAAAAACACCTTTACAGCTATATCCAATCAAAAATTAGAATTAAATCTTTTAATCACACCTTGCTTAAGTATTTCAAACATACATCTCATGTATAACATCCTTGTTAAATGCCTATAATTCATATTAAGATTTGTTCTCTAATTTGTGTAATAACTCAAACCAATTAACTGGCTATAATTTTATTATAGAGACTAGACTATATGCACTATAATTTTATTATAAAGAAGCAAATCGTATGAATCTTTTTTATAGTTCCTTACATACTGCCGTTCCATCAATATAATAGTATTTATATTGCTATACTTTGATAAAACTTCAGTTAATTTTATTTTTTGCTTGTTTTGATTATTGCTACAATGAACATTTACTATTCAAAATATATTTTGTAAAGATTTATTATCAACTGTGAGGGTGTTTGAAATTGCTTTTGATTAAACTTGAAAATCTTAGATAAGATTATGAAAATTGTGAATATTGTAAAATTGCTTTTAAAAATCTTAAGATACATTATTTGAAAATAATAAATAAATTCATAGATATCCAAAAAATTAGTTACAAAGCTATTTGTATAGATAAAGTCTTTTATATATGACTTCGGAATTGTACATAATGTAATTTTCTGTATCAACATATAAGTAGGAATTATCAAAATGGTAATTAAGAGTATCCAAAAAGAATCTCTGAATGGAGAAGTAACAGATGTGAGTTTTTGATGCTAAATATTACGAGACATTTTGTAGATGCCAAAAAAATGTAAGCTTAATACAGACAAATCTCGCAGTTTGTATGATATTTTTATTTCCTGCAAAAGAGATTGCAATGGACATTACGCAATCCTTTACAGTTCTTTTAGTATCATCGTATAATCTCAAACATATTTATCAATATTGTAAAATTGAAACATATTTGCAGCTTCAAGAGCAAAGCGAATAATAAGCAACATTACAATACAAACAGCCTAAATATGAACTCATAATAAAGCAAAAGAAATGCTACTTGAATATCGAACGACTTTGAAATATAAGATAAAGACATTGATGAACACCCATTCAAAAAATCAATGCATTCTACTAAAATAGCCTACGTTATCTGAACTGTATACATGAAAAAGACTAGTAATAAGTTCATAAGAAAAAAATAACGTAGGTGCGAAACGGTTTATCAATGGATTCGGACATATTAATACGACGATATAACGAAACTCCTTATGTAATAGAAAAGAAATAGCTTAGATAGGAATCTAATTTCTCTGGAAAGCGAACTGTTCTCTGTTGCTGATAAGTCGCATTTTAGCATTTAGTGACACCATGAAGTTCTAGATAATTATAGATATTCATTGTTACCGTACGTGCCGTTGATTATATCGAAGAAAAGATAATAAAAAGACATAAAAAAGCGGTCACAAATGATATAGATGTATCAAATTCACTTGCAAATAATTGTCCGAATACTTTGCAGCTCTATCGAATATACTTGTAATAATTAATTATTGCTAAAAGAAAAAAAATAGAGAGAACTATCGATATCGATATATATATATATATATATATATATATATATATATATATATATAAGATTAAAAATGTTGTCTGCATTGATTTTAACGACGAAGCAGATATAAATTCAGTGACAAATAAATGAGAGGCTGATATAAACAAAACAAATTTTACAATAAATCTATATAACTTTTTTAGTTAATCCATGTACACGACTAAAGTGTAAATATAGCATCTACGCATAATGACAGTCAAGTAGTACATTAGAAGTATACTTTAGTTAAAAATAAAGTAATCGTTACCATGTAATTCCACACTTTTACTTTTGAACATGAAACACTCAGCGAATTGAAAATTAAAAAATGTTAGCAATTCTATATAATATACGAAACGTCTCTCATTTCTACAAACTCATTATTCCCAGCAACAGCTAGCTATGTATATCATGTAGAAGGAATGCGTTCACCAGCAAACGATAACTCTTCATCGGAAAATGTAACGTTAGTAACGTTCATTAAATAGCGCATTTCAATTCGACAACGATCAGTCGTGTGCCGCTTTTTATAATCGAAAGAAAAGCTGAGCGGCGCCTCATAAGACATCGCTTAACGAGGTTGCTCCATTACTCGCCCGATATGTCCGTAGTAGGATTCATTAAGAAAATGCATTTTTCGTCTTTTTTTCTTTCTCCCATCTTCATCATCACTTATATAGCCTTTAAGGTGCAAGCATCATGCGGCGGTAGTGTGCAATTCAATAGTGCAAAAAGGCACTTTTGTTATCATGTTATTACTATATATACTATTATATACCTAGCGTTGAAGAAAAGTTTTTCGTTAAGTTTGTTATTGTTCGATCTACAGGGAACCTTTTTTCTTCATTCCCTTTAATTTACACGACCAGTATGTATAATAAATTGTAGTGATTATTCTAATCTTCGTGCAGACAAACAAAATTAATCATTCTTAGTTGTTTACGCAAACAGAATCAATTGAAAATTTAATTCATAAATCTTTAATGTCACCGAGATCTTTGTTGTACTTCTTTGGTACTGTGTAAATGTAATTTTTCTCAGAAAGAAGAATATAATTATTTTATTACTTAAGACGATAGTTTCTTTTACTTACTTTCTTGGCGCATTGATTTAAAAATCTGTACCTCGATAAGTATAGAAATAATAAAAAACCTCGATAAGTATAGAAATAATAAAAATTCGATGATTTTAATCACCAGCATTTTTTCTGCTAAAACAATTTACGAAAAAAAAAAGAAATTTAGGATATAAGTAAATTATAAACGACAACCAAACCTAAAAAATGCAACTACGAATGTATTACTTTCATCACCGAGCAAACAGAGCAAGAAAAGGGACTTTTCCTAGACATTTGTCCTTTGTGAGATCTAGTTAATAAAAAATAAGAAAAATGAATCTTTTTGACTACAATTTATTCTTTTCTTTCCCCTATGCGAATGAAATGAAAACACTAAAGTCGCTGCTATTTGCAACATTAAAGTAGTAAAACATTAACTCCAAAGTAATATTGTTTGTTTGCATTCGCGGCAAAAATAATTATCGAGTATCTCATCTGCGATCGCGCACAGCAATAAAGTAATAAAGTATCATCACAACAATGTCAAGAGCCCGAGCCTTAGCGTCCACATTAAACAGAAGCTCTTCGAAGTAATAAAGAAGTCAGAGCGCGCTTTTTAATTAAAACTTACGAACCCCCTTTGCTTCTAACCCACTTTTTGTACTTGCGCAGTAGCCAACCTGTGCGCAAAAACTTTCATATCGCTATGATTTATCCACGTAGAGAGAAACTCGGTGACCCGTTGCGCTGCCTCTTGTGCTGCTGTTGCTGTGCTCGCGGAACTCAAAATGCCCGTTTGGTTACACACACACACACACACACACACACACACACACACACACACACACACACACACACACACACACACACAGAGGTCCTACACAATTCGCGTGGTCACTTTTTATTCCAGGAAGCTCTTTCAAATTACGCACAACCGAAAATTGGCCACGCGCACCTTTTTTTATTGATCAATTTACTAGAAAGCCATATCCGTTTTTTCACAGGTCACCAATCGTTATCAAACGTTTCGCGAAATAACGGATGAAAAAAAATTTGATGCTAAGCCCGATAGCATGCTGGAAAATTCAGTTGACTCGCGATAGCTTGCAGTTATGAAACACCCGTACAATAACGCGAAGAACAGATATTTTAAGCAACAACATCCGTTTTCTCACGTGGATCCCTTTCCGTTTAAAACTGGAGTGTTACTACTCGACACTTACGCGTGTTTTACCAAGGAAACGCGTGTTGACGCAATTGTGTCCTTTCATTCATTTTTTGCGCGCGCTGTATAAAATTCAAAACTTCCGAACATTTCCTTACGACGACTATATATCACCAAGTCTATCATGAAAATTACAGTTGATGAATACTGTCGCATTATATAATCTATAGAAAAGTAAAACAAAATGAGTATTAAGTAGATATGTTGGTGGTTGTGAAAGCCGTCGTGGACCTTCGGGAATTCATCTTCGACAATGCACACAACGGAAGCCATTCACGTGCAATTAAAAAGTAATCACATCGTAATTTACGGAGGAAGAAAAATCGAAATATTTCATAAGGAGGTTGGAGCGTTTGCTATTATTAATCACAAGAATAAAATGAGCGGTAATTCTATATTTCGGTTATGTCACTGCGACAGTGTAGTTCATTGCCCTGAATCGATCGTGATTCCGAGAAAAGGCAAACATTTTAGAAAACAAATAAAAACAAACAAAGCGCTTTCACTTGTCGCGAAATTGCACCATCTGTTGGCCGATCGCATATACGCATTAGTCATCAAAGTGGCTCTCTCTGAACATTGCAATAGAACGTGCGCGCCAAGTAAGTATCAATCGTACGTCATGAAAAATTTCCAACCTACTTGTGTACACTTACGCGTCTAGGTAATGTGTTCCCGAAAACAACTTGCAACATCGCCCGCGTAAGCTATACGCGTCACCTTACATTTCTCAACTGGCAAGTCTAATTGCCAACTTTTAATACCAGCGGCTGGGCAGCAAGCCTTAATACCAAGCTGTAAACATCCAATAAAAATCGGACATTCATTTGGGTTGATTGAATTTCTTTTTTCGCGCGCTCACATTTCGAAATAGCGCGCCGTGCATTCAATCTCTTCGACACTTTTTATTTTGCTGCCGCGTTAGTTTTTCAAAGCGCCGCGCGTTTGCTTTTCAAACTACGCGTCAAACTGATGTTTCTTTTTAGAGCACTTCTAAAAGTAGAGGACATAAATCTGCGTGGAGTTCGAACAGAAATACTTGTCTCCTCACATCTCAATACATTAAAATAACTTTCGCAGCGCACAATGTGCAATGTGACATTTGTTTGCCGCTAGTTGCGTCTCTTTGACCGAATTAATGTAGTAAACTGCACGCGCAAATCGAACGGCTGACTCCGCAAACGCCGCGTCCGTCAATTTCACTCGGCAATCAAAATAATTGATGAAAGCGAGTCGCGCGACGTGTATACGCATTATCACACATCTCCATATCGATGGAACAATACCGCGCGGCCGTCCAACAGAACTTGCATGACATTAAAGCGCTGCATCCCCCCCCCCCCCCACCCAGCAATCCATTTCTGCCACCGGTCATCGCACAACAGATAATTATCGAAAAGGTGTCACGAGCGAACATATAAAAAGTGACGGTCGTCGATAGCGCAAGTGTCCTCATTTCCCAACGGTCCCCTTTCGCCATCGCCGTCGTCGCGCTTCGCATATCCTAATAACGTTCGAATTGGTCCAATTCAAATGGCCGTGCTACTCCGCTGAACGCCGAGCAGGTAGCAGGCCTATATCTGACAGCCGGGCATAATGCACGTACAACATATAGCCTATCCTACTTTCTTTCGGTGCTCGCTCGCGCGCGCGAGACGTTTGGGTGGGGACAGCTAGGAGGCCCCGCACAGGAGCGCGAGAAGCAGGGAAAGAAAAGTCTCAGCGGCGACGGACATGCTAAACGCTCGGCCAGTAAGTCCCAGCCGATCGTCGCGATCGTGACGAAGAATAATATCTCTCTGCGAGCACGGGCCGTCCGGGCCCCTCAAACTTAATCTGGTCTTTTTTATCTTTCGTTCGCTATCTCTTCGACTATTTTGTTTTTGTTTATCTTTATCGGGATTCTTCGAGGGGACAGGAGAATACAGTTGGTTTTATTCTTTTCCTTTTTTTTAATTTGGTGCGAGGGATAAGTGTGTGAGGTTTGATCCTTCAAGTGCTGGAAACTACACGTCTTTGAAGGTGAGTACAAGCTATTCTATTATTATGCGGGCTGCGCGGCTATTTGAATTTTCGCGCCGCATATATCGATGCATCGAGCAGCGCGTGAATTTAAACCTCGATGAACGGCTGCAATTTTCTTTTTTCTTTTCGTGTTTTTAGAGATTATTTTAAGGAGTGAGATTGCATCATTCAATAAATTAAATGAATATCGATGTTTGAATTGGTGCTCGAGGGCAAAAAGTTTCTATCGCAATGAAATTACATAGGAGTAGATTACAAAAATGGTCATGTCCACTTTTTCGAGCACACGCTATGATCCAGGTATATCTAGTTTTACAAGTATTCACAGTACTTAAATCTAAATGACACCAAACCTGAAACAATACATCAATGATGTAACTTTAGAGATCGAATAAATCCTATGGGATACACATCGGTTTCTTCTTATCGGCGTCACACTTGCCTTTAATTTTCAAACGAGTATATCTTAATTTCAACTACAATAATATTTCGTTTAAAATGATTTCATGAATGCTTTTTATTAACGTTAAAAAAAATATCATCCGAACAGGTAGTGTACAGAAGGGCGGCGCTCTATAAAACAGATTTCATTTGAACGCCGGGAAGTATTAAACGGTCCAACTCGATCAAATTACGAAAGAGTCGTTTTCCATTAGACTACAGAAAACGAAAATGAAAGAAGTGAATCGAGAAGAGCTGTTAAATTT